AAGAAAAAAAAAAAGAAAATTAAATGTTTTTACTATTTCACTGCTTTTCACCTCAGTACTAAATAAAAACACAAACGCCACGTAAGTACAGAAGCATGAGTTCAAATACATGAAGAGAAATGGGCCGAGGTCAGAGGTCAGATCACCTGAACAATGCTAACAGTGACGAGACCGACAGCTTTGACTCTGACCATGTGACAAAGTTTCCTTCTGGTGGAAGGAAACGTGCTGCTGCCAGAACGTTGATCAGAACACGAAACCAGACAAGCTGTGAGAAAACAGGTCAATAAATGAAGAGGTGAACCCAAATGCATCCTTCAGTGACTCGGTTTTAAAGTCGTCATTATCAAGGCCAGCTCTTCTGGTTTAGTGCAATCTTCAGAAAACAAAGTTGATTCTTCGAGTGCTTTATTGAGATGCAGGTAAATACGAGTCAGCATGGGAACGGGATTTTCTTCAAAACAATAAAGACCATGTAAGGGTAGTTTGTCAAGATCTTTGATTTTATTAATAGTTATTTTGCTCTATTTGGTTATTCAGTCTTTTATTCTTCATTTTCATAAATTAGGTAACTAAAGACAAAAGAGGGCTGTTCAGTTTGTTCCCCATAGTAAGCAGTAGATCAGGAGCCATGTTGGTGGCAGCAGCTTCAGCACTTCCTGCTGAAGGAAAAGGCAAGTCCAGAGTTACCAAGACAACAGACCCCAGGAGGAATCAAAACATTCATGAAAATCCTTAATGGTTTAATTTGAGAGACATGAACTTTCTGGCTTGTTTGGAAAAAAAAAAAAAGTTCTATTACACGTTTGGCTCTTTTCCAATAGCAACGCAGCTCACACAGTTCGACTGGTTTTCCATAAATTGAGTAAAGACTCTAGTGGGTGGAGTTATCATTCCTGCCAGTGGAAGTAGTGAGACACTCACAACAATGGAGGACATGGAAGCTACGCTAAACACTGCCAGGTCTACCATTGTTACAGATACACTCAGTCGCTGTTGTCTTTAAAAATGGCGGGTCGGATTATCGTAAAGCGAGCCGGCTGGTTCAGTTGCTAGAATGTGTGCATCATACACAGAGCAGCGCGGTTGACCTGAATTTAACCTCTGGTGTCAGGTCCTTTTCCACTTCTCTATTCTACCTGTGTGTGTGGCTTTTTTTTCTGTCTACTTATTGTTCAATAAAGCCCACTAGTGCACCACCCAAAAGTCTTTATTAAAAAAGGGGGGTAGTCGTTTTTTGTTGCAACCTCTGTCCACTAGCCTAGCCAATTAGTTACCAAAAATCTGTTTTTTGTTTCAGCTGCCAGAGCAGAAACGGTCATAGAGAAGTGAGGAAAGACATGTGGCAAAGATACCGGTAGTTAAACTCCAGTCAACCGAGTCCATTCTGTAGCCTCCATCGACGAGTCGCGTGCTCTAAAGCCCCTACCGACACTTTTCTGACATCATTTTTTTCAGCCCAACGAGGCACACTACGACCCCCAGAGAAGAATGTTCTAGAAAAGTGTCTGATTCCACATAGGTGGATATCCCTGAGAACCACATAGAGCCAAGCAAGGGTGTGACTTTGTGTTGCAAGTCGGTAGGGATGAAGAGGAGCAGGGGAACGGTAGCGGGGTTCGGGTGCTGCTGTCCCCACAGTCACTGCAAGGCCTTTTCTTTTCTAGTGCTAAGAATAAAGCCAAAACTTACATGTGAATGCCAGATGGTCTTATTCAATAAATTAAGATATGATGTGTCTTTAATATAGCAAATAGTAAAGACAAAACCTTTTTTGGGTCTGGTTGGTGAGTAGAGTGACCATCGATGTTAAGGGATTCTATAAAATGTGGCTTAAGCTGAGATGCTGATGTTTGGATATGTAAAAATATTTCTCTGCTAATAAATCTATAGTTTGGCGTCTGTCAGTTCTAGAAACAAGAGCGAACAAAGTGAATTTCTCTTTATAATGCCCCATAATTTAATTTTACTTAATAGGAGCCATAATTTAAAATTCAACAAACTATATGCTTCACGAAATATTTCATCCTATTGATGATTGCTCAGAAAATCGCCACGATCTTTGATCAAATGATGTGATTTGTCCAGGGGAAAAATGTAGAAAAACAGATAGTAATGCATCTATGTCGAGTTACAAGAAAGGTGCAGAGAGCATTGGTGGGGACTGTCCCCTTCATGCCGGAGTTGGTGGGACATCAGGACTTATGGAGACAAGTCAAGCTGCTGTGAGCAGGTGCAAGTGGAAAAGGGCCAACATAACCCCACCTGACAACAAAACCACAGGATCTCACAGTCACAGAGAAGATTTGAAAGTTTAGCATACAAACACTGAATCTGTTTTTGACACTACTGACAACGATGAAAAGCGCAACCGATGTCAACCCTTCCAAAAAAACAAAGAAAAAACATTTTATGTGTACCTTTACAGCATACAAGCATTTCTCAGTCTCCCGTCACAAAAACCGGGTCATTTGTTCTGCAGTGAAATTAACATGTCACATCACACAGAAGTTTGGCTGTAGCTTCCTCTCCGGTTTGTCAACTTAAAGACTTTAGCCGCTGAACCGAGGACCAGTTCAGACAAAGTGGTCTTTAGCTCACTGGGTTGCATTTTAAAAAAACAAAAAACAATCATGTACAAAACTGCAAAACATCTTTGCATTAGATTTGTCCAACATCACAATTGAGCTGATTAAAACAGTCCTTCAGTTTCTTTTGGGGTCCATGTTAAAGTCAGAAGCACCGCTGCGTTCCTGCCGGTTTGTCCGTCAGTGACTCTGACATCTGCCTGATGTTTAACCCAAAGTAGAGACAGGTATTGGAAAACATTGGAGGGTCTAAATCCCTTCTTAGCACATGAGAATACTGATCCAGAGTTTAACAGTATAGTTTCACCATAAGATACCTGTGGGCATCACCAACCGTCGTTTGTTCTGCAAAAAGCAGCAGCTTTCCTTGTAGCTTACAGCAAATCGAAAGACTTTCGCAACTGGTGGGAAAACAAAAGGTGGGTTTAGATCTGCCTAGAAGTGTCAGGAAACCGTTCAAACCGAATGCAACGCTGTGGCAACTTCAATCGGACATTGACACGGCACTGGGACGTCCCAAGCACCAAAGGTCTGGCACAGTTTTGTGTTAGATTGTACACGTTCAAGTAGGAATTTTGCTGCCCGTTTTTTTTTTTTTTTTTTCCTTTCTCAAAAGTCAGAATTCACAGTCCAAACTGTGAAGCGTACCGCTTTTCCTATTTAAATAGATTTTCATGGGAGGTCAAAGAAAGTGCTTCAGTGATTATAGTTTTTAACCAGCCAATTGGACTACAAAGAAATTTTTTTTTTTCTCAGGTGAATAAAACCAAGACACCGATAACTTGACTGTGACGAGATCCAGGTTCTGACTTTGAATGTAAAAGCGGCTCAGCAGAAATTCAGCATGCTTCGAAAAAAAGACACGAGTTCTCAACACGCTGCAGTACCTTCATGTGAACAGCTTATCCAACAAGAGCTACAGATTCATCCAATGACTTCATTCATGAAAACCAGGCCTGCTCACCACAAGAGAGGTAATTCATTTAAACACCAGGTACTCCACCTCACACACGTATCATTTAAAACGTTTCCATATGATGGATTGCCTCACGTTCTAAAGCTTTAAACTGTTCCCCACAGCTGCCAGCAGGGTCAGCAAACAGCACAGATTCCAGACTTGCCTCAGGAGGGTGTTCTGGTGTAAAAATCCAAAAACAAAAACAAACGTCCCAAAAACAAAAACAAACGTTCCTCTTTGTTCCCATCTGAGATGAATGAACAAAAACAAAACAAAATGTCCAAGAGGAGATTTGAAATCCAGCTGCAGTGTTGATATTGTCGATTCTACGTCTAGTGCAACATGAAAGGAGGAAAATAAATATAAAACCTGAGCTTTGAGAAGTTGAAAAAAATGTTACAATGGGTTCAAGCTGGAGAGATTCCATGCATCGTGTTCCTCCTTCACCGGGAGAAAGTCGAACACCTCGCTGCGTTTTACTCAGTGCGGCGCTCGGGAGGAGTGCGACAGATGTCACGGTCGGAAGTTGTCCAGTCAGACAGTCAGTTCTCCAAACCATATTGTAGACAAAAAAAACCAACATAAAAATCTTAAAAATGCACACGGGGTCAATGCGACCACGTCAGACTGCGCACACGGTAAAAAACTTGCGGGGTCCAAATGACCCCGTCTCATAAGACCGTGGGAGGGCTCCATTGAAATAAAATTAGATTTCATTTGAATCAAATGAGTGTTCTGTTCCCTGCAATTTAAGAGTTATAAAAACATGTTTACATGCACTGCAAAAAACACGAGGGAACTAACGCTGACTTCCTCTTGTACTTACAAGTCAAACTAATTAATATTCTGAGTCAGGAAAAATAACTAGAACACTTCTCGAAGTTAGAAATCTGCCTTGAAGCATCAGAGTTCCCTGGGCTACTCAGATTGAATTCAAAATGGCCACCGGCCATTTAAAATGCTGATAGCAACAGGAGGATAAACCATTTGTTATTGTGCCTGTCCGCTGGTATGCCATTAAATACCAAGTACTACTGTTCTGCATTTATTTCTGCCAGGTCTTCTTTGGTATCTAGAAGCAAAAAAAAACAAAAACGAAGCATCTTGTGCTGCTAAACAAGGTTAGCATGCTAACTAGCCACAATGACAATAAATCTCAGTGGCTTTCTGAATTGCAGCTGAAAAGATCTCAACTGTGGCATCATTCACAAATCCAAGATTTGGGAATGACTTGCCTGAAATTTGAAGGGCAACACAACAAATCTAGCAATTATCTGAGCAATCTTAAGTTCTTAGGAGAGTTTGGTAGCATTAGCACATCCTGACAGGCAGATCTGATTTGATCGATCAGTGGATTAGAGATTGCATTGTGGGTCGCAGTAAAAATGACTAATTTAAATAATTCTACATATTTACATCAATATAAACGCACCACAGCCTTGAAAAGAGAGAAGTATTGGTTCATAACATGCACATTTAATACGAACAGTTCACCTGCAAGTAACCAGATAAGCTGCCACATTTAAACAACCGTACCTCCCCTAGCCAGCGGTAACCTTTCGAAACAAGTAGATGTGCACTGTTTACATTCAGATTACAGTGACCGTGGTTCTCAATTACACACACACACACACACACACACACGCAAAAAGAGTGCAACCTTGTTTTTGAAGTGCATGTAAACACATCCTTTTGTGGCAGATGGTTTCGAGAGAAGCAGACACAGTTTTGTCATTGGAAAAACCCAGACAGAAGGAATGGAAGAGCAAAGATCCTGAGAGGAAAAACATTGAGTCCAAGGAGGAAACGATAAAAGAGGAGCGGAGAGAGAGAGAGAAAGAGAGACAGAGTCAAAAGGTTGTTTTTTCCCAGCTTCAGGTTAAAGGAAAGAAAACCAAATGCAGAAGAAAAACAAGGTGTCATCAAGTCTTCTGAGGGCTACAGTACAGTAGAGTTTTAGCTACCTTATTGTGAGTGTGTGTGTGTGTGTGTGTGTGTGTGTGTCATCAGCTCCAGTGACAGATCAGCAGTCCAGCCACTAAAGGGAGCAGGTTGAGCAGAAGGAGCCAGAGAGTGATGCCCAGACCTGGAGAACTGGAGCAGGGATCTGAAAGCAAACAAACACAGATAATTAACGTTGGGTTCTTAACAGGGATGAAAACTATTAATTGAATGACATTTAAATGTCGATTAAGTTCTAATGTCTGCTTAGGACTTCTTTTAGTGTTGTAGTTTGGCCTACTGCACAGAAGAGGGCGCCACTGGTCATTCTTAAGACGAGACAGCAGACACAGGAATTAAAGGCAGAGCCATGTCAGAACGAGAAAGACAAGCGATTCGAACATTGTCCAGTGTGGGATGAAAAATGGCTTTTGTGCTACGAAGGTCAGGATGTGGCCACAGAAACGCAGGGGGTGGAAACTGTAACACGTCAAAAAAAGACGATAAAAAAACACGGTTGATTTTGAGGACTGTCCTGAGAAAATGAACTTAATGTAGCAAAGTTTTAACCTTCCTTCAAGAGCAACCAGTCTATATGAACATGTATATGTTGACGGGGAGATGAGTGTTAAACATATTTTTAAAAAGTACTGCATTTATCCCAAAGGGAAATTAAATCATTACATTTAAATTAATCATTCTTTTCACATTTTACATTTCTATTTAGCAACCTAAGAAGTTACTGTTTTATAAATACGTTTAGCATTGTCAGAGTCACATTTTAATGTTTATTCTGTCAGTTTTTAATACAGCTGACACAAAATAATAATTTTATTATTTTTTTAAATTCAGCATATTAAAATGGAGCCTTTCATCTTCTAGGAAGATGGTCGGACCTTTTGATACAAGTGAGAACTCAGGTTTTTGGTTTGTTCTTATTTATCATCAGTGAGTCTAATCAGTCAGTTACCTGCAGATTAAGTCATTAATCGATAACTTTTTGTGTTAGCAAACGAGTGAAACTGACCGATGGGCTTGTTCCTGGAGTTGTTGACGGGCAGGAGCTGGTGGGCAGGGGGCAGTTGTCACAGAAGTCGGTGCAGGCGGGGCAGCAGGACCCCGTTGTAAACCCAGTCGTTGAGCCAGACGCTGACGCTCAGCTGCTGACCTTTCCTCACGCACAGGAAGGAGCGGTCCTGAACGTACACCGTCAGGCCCTGAGGCAAGCACGAAACCTGCAGGCGGGGCAGCAACAGCGGTCAGCTCTGTGTGAACTCTGACCGCGGTTCAAGAACGTTACAAATTTGGCCCTCTGGTGGACACGTTTTGTCTTTTTTTTTTTTTTAGCATGAGAATTTCAATCGTAAATTTTTTCTTCTTCAAAGGAAACTGTCGGACACAAAACGTTTTTCCTTTAATAGTCGTGTTTGTGATTTTACATTCATAGTAAGTAGAGCTGTCAACATCTAGCAACGTTTTACCCAAAAAAAGACAAGAACACATTAATTCTCTTTGTTGGTGGAATAGAATAAAAATATTTTCTAGACCAAATAAACTGAAATTACTCTCAATGTTAGGAAACTGTCTGCCTTTTATGAAGCACTGGCGCCAACCTGTGGCAGCTGGAATCAAAATATAAAAAAGGTTGCTGACCCAACCTCTTATTGCTTAAACTAAAATCGTTATGCATTCTTCGCACCTCAAAAAAAAAAAAAAAAAAAATATATATATATATGTTTTTGTTAACCTTGTTGGCAGCATACTTTAAGTCACGACTTAAAACTTTTTATGCAACTTTGTAAGTAATTACAGATGTATATATTTTCTTTTAAAGCAGACGTGACAGACGTCTCAGCAGACTCCGGGTGGTTCTTCGCTACATGAGGACAAACTGAAAGCACCTGGTAGCATCCGGAGCCCCAGTCTGGATACGTCATCTTCCTGGTGCACTGCTCCATGACGAAGGCCGACTTCTGGTACAGACACAGAGTGTGGGCCGTACTGCTCTGCTCCATAATTCCTCCATGAGTCTACAAACACATACAGATATCAGCTGATGTTCAGAGCACTAGATTCTAGTCGTTATCATCTTTGCGATGTGAGCAGGACCTGGCTGGTTCTCCGACACTCTGCAGTACGAGTTTCGTTGATATTCTCCGCTGAGGTGCCAGCTGAACTCCTGGCTGAAGGGGCAGAAATCGGCGATCTCCACAGCACCCCCGAAGGACGTCAGCTGATCTGCAGCAACGTTCGGGATCCGATCGAAATACTGACAAAACAACGAGGCACTTGGGAATGAATGTCTTTTTTATTGTTTATTGTTTGGGAGTATCCATTTTTTGGGTTTTCATTTATTGGTTAATTCTATTGAAAAAATATCCAATCTGTACATTTTCCTAAAAGTCTATAGCCAGTTATTTAGAAAATGTAGTGATGATCTACAAAGTCAACTTTAGACACAAAGTAACCAAGAAATGGCTGCTGGGAAAAAGTTTTTGACTTACTTGGTATTCCAGGGGCAACTGCTGGGGGTATTTCTGTAAGTTGCAGACAGCCACTGCCAGCTGGTCGTGTCTGCAGGTCAGCTGCAGAGGAGAGGCCCGCACCGTGTCACAGAATGGGGTCACAGGGTGCCGCCTGCCGACAACAGTGAAGGGATAAACTGAGAAAGTGAAGCATGATCAGAAAATATCAGAAAGAAAAAATTAAAGGGGTACTATTTTGTGTATTCTAGCCACGTAGTGACATTTTATAGCATAATAAAGTAGGTATATATAAAATGACTTGAAAGAAATTTTACATAATAGTTTAATGGCTTTAAATTGGGCCTCTGTCTCTAAAAGCTCCTCCTCTTTCTGAAACACCGCTCTCACAAAGTCATCACAACATGGCTCCTCTATTAACCCTTTAGCAACATTTTTACCAGCGTTTCACTGAGATGTAGCTCCTATATTGAGCTCAGCAGCTGCTCAGGTCCACCAGGTGTTTGCTAATTGCTGCTGGCTAGTCTGAAGGAGCTGAGTGGGGGAGTCAGAGCAGAGATGTGAAACCTTGGAATCTGCAGCTTTAAGGAAGAGCTTCGTCCTTGTACTTCCATCCAGGCATTTTTCACAGCTGAATGGTTGCCATAGAGATTAAAGGATTTCTTAAACGTGCATGCAAGAATCAAGGCAAAACTTCGGGTGTGTTTTTGATGAGGGAATAATATTATAACATTGTGTAAAGCTCAAAAAAGTCAATTTTGCATAACAGAACAAACTCAGATTACTTATCCTGATATTTTTTATGACGGACTGCTTGGTAGGGAAAATTTGACAACCAAACTATTAAATAAAAACAACTCTGAGAGTTGGCACTAAAAATACCAAAAGCTGACATCTGGAATTGTTATCATTATTATTAAAACAGCACCTCTGCTTCTGTTTGTCCATCCAAAACTTGCAGCTCTTCATCACAAAGTCGCAGCCGAGGCCGCGGCCCCAGTCCAGCCTCTGTGCCATGCTGTAGTTGGCCCGGTACCAGCCGCTGTCTTCCATGATAGCCAGCGTGAGGCGGGAAAACACCCGGTTCTGGGTGTGGGAGCCCGTCATGGCCTCGTTCTGGAGAGAGTGGTACGGGATCACGAGGAGGAGAGAACAAGTATTTGGTGTTTAGTAAAACGCAGAGGGTGGGTGAGAAGGTACGGACCTCCAGCAGCCGCTTCTCCCAGTGGTTGAGCTCGGTTCCCGTCCCGCCCTGGTTCTCCAGCTCCATCCCCTCAAGGATGGGGCAACTGAAGTGCCTCCTGGCCTCTTCCTGCAGGAGCGACACAGACAACCCTGTGACTCCGTCACATCCGCTAAACCAACATCCAGACCAAACTGAAGTATCACTGAGCACATCGGACGCTCACTGGGTTTTCTGCCAAGTTAACAGAGTTCAGCTGAAATGCTGTTAGGAAAACGGACAGAAAAGAACGAAAATGGACACAAAGAACATTTTGGACACAGTGGGTATGCAAAGCAGGAGTGTCAAACTCATTTTCATTTTGGGCCAAATCCAGAATCTGAATGTTCTTAAAAGGCCGGAATGTATTAATAAAACCAATTAAATTGTTCAAATATCAATAAATAGCTGTTTGTTTCAGCATTCAATAAGTGTTTATCAAAATTAAATTATTTTTACACTGATCATCCAGGAAGTTGTGATTTTTTTGTGGTTTTTCCAGATTTTGTATATTTTTCATTTGCTCACGGTTTGGGATTAATCAGATTCAACAATGGCTGTGTTGTCTTTTGAGCAAACTGACTTTTTTTACAGTGCATACTCAAATTGACCATAAGTCAATTATGTGAATAATCAATTCATCACAGTTGCTCTGGGAGGCAGAAGCCCAGGAGTTTGGAAAATGCAACTCAGAGGCGGAGCTTCGTCCTCAAAGGCGGAGTTAAGTCCACCAGAATTTCTCAAACATTCATGAAAGAATCAAGGCAACATCCCAGGTATGTTTTTGAAGAGGGAATAACTTTAGAACATGATGGATGCAGTGAATCTGTGAAGCAGAGAAACTGCTCTTTACCACGACTCGAGGAGTGACCAGGACGTGAACGTGGTGCCGCACCATCTCTCCTCCTCTGATGTCCCACAGTCGGCTGACCCTCCTGATCACCGCCTCGCTCCACTGGTACACGCCCAGGCTGAGCAACAGGTCAAAGGTTAAGAGCTTAGAGGAGGGGAATGTGACTGAACACAGAGTCACAACACAAATGAAGCTGATTGGATGAAAGCAGGGCCAGTGTCAGGCGGATAAGAAATGAAATCGGCGGAGCGAGATCGGCCGTCTGCTTACTCTCGTTGAACGCAGGAAGGCCGCTGGCGAAGCGCGGAGTCAGAGGTTTGCCCTCGTCGTCGTGGTAGAAGGCGAACAGACCGGCCGAAAACCCCTGGTGAGCACACACAAAAATCTCAGTCTCTGAAGGAGGACATGAGGCAGAGAGATGTTGATGGAGGGGATATCGTTGATTTTTATGGATAGAAATCTTTTGCCTTGGCAACAGCAAAGCTAACGTAACAAGAATGACACAAAGTGTTTTGTATGACCATTACTCAGAAAAAAAACAGGGAGTGTATTCCAGATCAAGAAAAACAAACTAATTAAGCTTAATAGGTTGGCCTGTTGCAATAAGTAATAGATCAATTAATGACATGATAAATTAGAAGAAGCTCAAAATTTCCATTTACCCAATTCATCATTTTTTTCTCTTTCTTTATAGTATGAACTGGATGACTAAAGTCTTCTGTTGGCTGCTTTGGATCTCAACTGAACCTGTTTTGTTTAGTTGATTTTGTTTACAAAGACTTCATAATTCATTGTATTTGTTGTTTCTGTTGTTTTGTTTATCTGGATATTTAAAATGTCTTCCAGTTCCAATGTTAAAATGTTCATTAGAATTGAACATTTATTGATTTTTGAGAATGTGTTTTGGCATTATGATGCCATTACCGTTAATGGTCTCAAAACAACAATATTATCGTTTATCGTGATGACTTCTGGAACAATTCATCATCTAGCCGAATGTGTTGTTGTGACAGGTCTGGTGATGTGTGTGTCAGAGAGGAGAGAAAGCGTATTACCAGAGCATGGATGATCTCGTGTTTGACAGTGGAGAGCATTCCTTCAAACTCCTGAGGCTGAGAGGAGATCATGGCTGGACACAGGTTGGCATAACCTGCAATGGGCCTGAAAAATCACACACACACATATATAGAGAGAGTTAAAAGGTACAGACTTGTCTTTATTCCTGGACTTCATTAAGATTAAAGGATAATTAAGCTGACCGGTCCAGCTCTGCTTCCAGCTGGCAGTAGGCAGCGTAGGCCACTATGTTCTCCTGTCCGCATCTCTCAGTGGTGATGCCGCTGACGTACAGCACAAAGTCTGAGCCCTCCACCCCGGGGCCGTCCGGGGGCCCCGTTGGGCCACACGACTTCCCAGACTCGCTGCAAACCTTACATTGCTGAAAACAAACAGAAATGTCCAAAACCCTCTTTGATGGGAGCTTTAAAACTCCGTTCTCTGCCACTTTCCAGCACTCCTTATCTTTAAATTAGAATGAAATTTATCTTAAAGAAGGGCTTATATGTTGCACAGCTGTTTCCGACCTGCAGGTGGTGCTGTGGTACAACGACGGGGCCGCACCGGGTGACGTCTGCACAGGCATCCTGGCAGTATCGGTGAGGGTCACCTCTCTTCCTCATGTATTGGTTGGTTGCGCATTGTCTGAAAAGAGATATTAAACTTTGCTCAGGTTAATCTGGTTTCTGATGTCTTTCCACATTTGACAACTAAAACCGTAAAGGAAGACATTTGTTTCCACCGATTAAAGAAAACAACTAAAAAAAAACACAAGTTACTAAATCCGCCAATTGTTCCCCAGATTGTAAACCGGGTGATGGGAATGGTGAGGTACCTGCTGAGCAGCACAGGTCCCACCCTGCGCCTCAAACTGAAGGCCTTCTGAAGGTAGTTGATGGCCTGAGGAAACAACTTGTCCTGAATAAAGACGTACAGAGAGAGCTGAAAACTGCAGTCAATCGCCAATCTCTAAAAAGCCCAGCCTTCGACTCTGATTCTGGTCCACACCGATACTTTTCGTTTCAAAAGTCGATAAATTTGGAGGAAGATTTCAGTAAAGGTTCAAAATTCAATGGTTGATTTTCAGCCCTTTAAAGGGCATTTATTTTAATGATGTGCCGATTTAAAGCCATGCATATATTTATACACACAATCCACAGTGAACATTCAAAATGTTTCAAGGGTGATCTATTATGTTTCCTTGAACATGTTAAGAAAGGTCTAGGGGGTACACAACACATTTTCATCACAATTTTTCAAATCATTCTTAGGTAGTGATGTTTCAGTTTGCTCAGTTCTGCCTATTTTGAGCTCCTGTCAGAATGACCAGTTTTAGGTCTCTGTCACTTTAAACACAAATAAGCCGCTGCTGGCCAGCCTCCTCCCCCAGTCAACGTTTACACTTGTATTTGAAAATGGCTGCAAACAGACGCGCAATTATACAACTTTACATCTTTGAAGGGCAGAAGTAGAACCTCCTGCTCAACAAACAAGACTGCAGCAAGTGGTTTCTGGACGTTAAGTTGACAACAAAACACTTGTCTTTTCCAGCAGCAAACAGCTGACCAAACATGCTGGAGCTCAGCTAGGGTTGCTAGGTAACCGGCTGGGTCGCTGAGGTTGCTGCTTTAGGGGCAGTGCCTGCTGATTTGTGACTTGACAATAGGCAAGATTTTGAAAAGGATCATTTTCCAGGCAAAAAAAACATGAATTTATTCCCAAAAGCCACCTAACAGACATGAGCTGTTTTTAGAAGCAGTGGAAACCCAAATAGAAGTACAATTATGTGCAAAATATAAATTTAGCATAATAGGTCCCCTATCATAAGCATTTTTGGTAATATAATTAAGTCTAAGGCAGTAATACTATATTCTCAGAGCACCATAATGAATGGTTATAATTGTCTAAAACTCATGGAGGCCTCAGGCTGAGCCCTGGTCACATTATCACCATGTCACAGGAGGCAATAATGCTGCTGTTTGTTAGAAAGATTACAGACGGTTTATATCCTCATCTAGCAACAGCCACTTTTATCTTTGCATCCATTTTTTTTTTAAACACTATAGGGTGAGGGTCCTCTCACCTTCACCAGTCTCCGTTTGTCAGCAGGAAGTCTGTGAAGACAAAGAGTGAGCTCATTAACCACCGACAGAAAAATTATATATGGTGCCTTAGCAAAATATTCATGTCTATTAAACCGTCACACATTTATCACATTACAGGCACGTGTTTCTTTACCCCCGTCCTGTCGTTAAATCTGGTAGAGATAATTCTGAGAGAAACAGCCACAGGCTTCTGCAAAGTGTTCACCAGGCAAAGACCGTAAGAAACAGTGTTTTGTTATTTCATGTAAAATCTCAATGAAATAACCCAGAATTCTGTGGTTGTCAGAAGAAAAGAAAAATTGAATGTTAAAGATGCTGTGTGAAAACATTATAAAAAATATGTATTTTTTTACATATTTGTTGAAACTCATATTATGACAGTATGGTATGTCAGATAATCTGATAAACAGATAATAAGTTTAAAAAACAAAACAAGCTCCTGTGCTTTCTCTCAGTGCTAAGTAGAACCAACACCCTGGCGTAAATAGTCAATCCTCCAGCTGCAGCTGATCCAGTACGCTGCTGCTCACGTTCTCACTAAAACTAGGAAGACGGAGAACATAAACCCAGTTTTCAAGTCCCCACACTGCTTTCCTGTAGCTCAGAGAATAGATCAGCATTGGCCAACTGCTGAACTTACTGGTCAACGCTGCTGTCGTAGACGACTTTTATCTTTAGCTGCAGGTCGTCAGAAGAACTTCTCTTCGCTAAGCGCTCAGGCTTCAAGTACACTTGATGGACAACCTAAAAGAAGTAAACAGGAACTTTAATGTGATGCTATTGTTTTTTTTTGTTTCATTGTGTGTTTGGAGGGGCTTGGAAATCAATGAGTTAGCTACCCAACAGCTCTTTAAGTTTTCTACTTGGCGTTAAGCTACCCAACATGGTGCTCTTATTTGCACTATTTCAATACTATTTATAATATTTAGAAAATCTTAGCATAGACCCTCCACTAAGGTTCTAAATAAATTTGGCTGAAATTACAAACTGATACTTTTACATGTATGTGTATTTCGGGTGGGCAGTTTGGCATTAAACTTTTTGGAAGATATTTGGAAGTCATTGAAATACTTAGAAAAGTGACAATAAAAAAGGATAACTAGTTTAAATCTTTTAGGTAACAGAAAAGCACTGCAGGTAAGGCTACACAAACACAAAATGAATCATTTAATTATGTTTTATAATTTATTGAGGCGCAATCAACAGTAGAATAAAAAACAGCAAACAATTCTGACAACACAAAATGTCAAACTGTACAATAAAAATATATATTTCTAATAAATTATGCCAATGGCAGGTTTTAACTGGTTTCCAGTCTTATGTGATTTTGCATTCACTTTGTAAAAGTACCAGTAATATTCAGATTATGTTTTCTTGTCATTAGCTTTGTAAATCCTTTTTTCACAAATATTTCTTCATCTCATTGAAATGTAGCCAAGTTATTTTTATGAAGTTGTTCATTAATTCAACTGTTAAAATAGGTTCTTTAAAACGACAAATTCTTATCAGAAACTAAAACTTTATTTTTTTTCAAAAGGCCATGCAACATTTTTTGTTCTGCGAGTTTTAATTTGCTGGACTTTGGATAAAAACGGCTCTTTGGGCTGAAAAGCTGCAGATATCTGGTTCAGTTACATTTTCATTGAGCTTTTATTCTGAAAATGCCCACCCGGACGTACTATTTTTGCTGTTGCTAGGAGAAGTGAGGCTTAAATTGAACAGTTAGATTGAATAAAATGATTGTAAATTTCTGAACAATCGCTATAATTGGGTACATACACAGATTATGCTGTACATGAAGCCGGGCGAACAGACTAGCTTCTGGTTAGCCGCTTAGCTTTTTAACTAACTGCTAAATTCCAAATTACAGTGAACTGAAACAAAACTTTACGACAGTGTGAGTGTGGAGTACGGTTCTCAGACATCATATCTGGTGACAGTTTGACTTGGGTTTAAACATCCTCTAACAGAATTTATAGCTAATAAAATCAACGTTAATTAGCTCAGGAAGCTAGCAGGCTAACAGACTCGGCGCTACAAACTGTCCAGTGAACGTCGCAGGTACAGCCGAGGCTCACCTCGCGGCCGGAGGGGACTGTGTGTGTGCAGGTTCTGTGACGGCTCGCTTGTACCGCTAGGAGCGAGAGGACGAGGACAGGACCGAGGAGAACCCGGGACACGGACGGCTTTCCACTCCCTCTTAACCAGCGCTCCATCCTCTGGCGAGCCCGAGAAGCGGTACTGAGAAGCACGGAGGAAACACAACCGCCGACGGTCTCCGTCCGGTCCCCTCGGTGCGCGTTATATTCATCGCTCGCGAGGTGAATCCGAACAAGGTAGCATTCTGTAAAAAAAAAAAAAACGGTCGATATGATTCGGTTCTACTTTTTCGAGCGGACTGTAACGCCGGCCGGTTAAAGGCTTTGATGACAGCAGCAGCTGCGGGTTCTGGTTCGTTACTTCGGAGTCAGCTGAGAGGAGGAGGACTCGCTCCTCCGAAGACCGTGTGTGAACAGGATGCACCACTCTATTAATTTTTTTTACAGAACTAGGAAGCGTCACAACCCTTCAAAGATCGTTTCTAGCTAGCTACAAACATGTTTAGAGATGTATTGTAGCTTTTTTCCCTTCAACGTATAAGTTTGTTCTGCCAATAAAACTCAAAAGAAGGAGTGAGCATTTGAAGTTTTCTTTCTTTCTTTTTCTTTGCTAGAGTTAGAACTGCATGTATTTTTTGGTAGGTCTCTACCGGCTTTCCTGATTTATTATTATTATTATTATTATTATTATTATTATTATTATTATTTCTGCGGTACTGGTGGGGCTTTTATTTTGATGGGACTCCAAGATCAAGAAAAACCGCTTTCGTTTTCTTCTTTTCTTTTTTTCATTTTTGTTATATTTATTGTGAACAACATCAACAGCACCAATAATGTTTTCATATGGGTAGAGATTGTCGAAAAATAAATAAATAAATAAAATAAATGCTGGCTTTTATTGTGAAAGTAATGGACCGGACCACGAAACTTTTATTTTGACACAAATACGCCGAAATGTTATCGCGCGTGGGAAATAAAACAAGCAGTTATTTAAAAACCCGTATTAAAGAGCCATAAATGAACCCGAGGACGGAACAGAGAATTAACCGGAAGTGCGTGTCAGGGGAAAACACTCCGAGGTCCTTAAAGCAGCAGCTGCGGAACGTCTTGGGACGCGAGGTCAAAGTAGACAGCAGACAGCATTTTTTTTTTTTGTTCCCTCCCTGCAGTCCGGACTGGTCGGAGTGCAGTCCAGGTGAGCTCGTGTGTCGGTGAGACATGAAGAGGAAACTCCTGCTGGTGTCCAACTCCACTCTGCACGGCGGCGGCTACCTGGACCACTGTCAGCAGCACATCTGCAGCTTTTTTGGAAAGTGAGTCTGAGCAGAAACAGGCCGAGGAGACGCAACGTTACCCCGCAAAGAGACACTGTCAGTGAGGAAACGAGCGCCGAACGTCAAATTTATAGTGGGGGGTTTGTTCTGGATCATTTGGCGCTGTGGTCTGGGCGGCATGGGACAAAGGGGCGCCAAGAAGAAACGCAACAATGGAAACTGAGAAAAAAAACCCAAGCCTTTTCTGTGGCGAATGCTGCATTTGAGTTGTCTCGAGTTCAGCGCTGGTAATAACTTCATGTCAATCTTAAAACGGAAGAATGTGTTCTATATGTTATGGTGGTTAAAAACCAGGAGCTTTTTGCGTATTTGTGAGGGCAGGGAGGTTTCGCGGTCCATGTCTAATCTAGTCAGCGGAAAATTCAGTTCAGGAAGAAACGCACAAAGTAAAACATCCTGCTCTTCTTGATGCTCAAACCGGCCATCCTGGAGCGCCATTTATTTTCCTTGGCGCCGGAGAAGATTGGAGAACCCGACTAACGTGGAGAACGAGAACGCCTCACTGTTTGCGGGGAAGGGGTTCAACACGCCGAACGCCAAAAGGCTGAAGTTGGCGCCTGATTCACAGCTTGTCGTCTTTCTCAAATATCATCACATCAACGTCTTTCAGTTTTTAATGCTGCTAACAAACCACATGCTAACCCTTTTTATGTGTTGACAGAGTGTTTGTTTAGTTGCCGGTGACGGTGGTTTGCCCAGGGTGTCATCAATGCAAGGACGACTCCGTGTTGACAGCTTTATTTGACTTTAAGTGTTGATTCATCCTTCAGGAATGTGAAGAGAGTGCTGTTTGTTCCCTATGCCCTCCATGACAGAGATGCCTACACAACGACTGCCAGGAACAAGTTCAGATCCTTAGGTAGGTTCCCACACTTTGGGAACTCCTGCTCTAAACTATCACAGCCTTCAGCGGTCCGTTGCGTTCTTTGAGAGTGGAAACGGACCCCAGCTGTGCCACGATGTTCTGAAAACGCTCGTTTTGACTCGTGTGTTTGTGACCCCGGCAGGTTATGAGGTCGACGGCATCCACGAGGCTGCTGACCCCGTCGAAGCCGTCCGAAAGGCTGAGGGCATTTTTATTGGTGAGAGCCGAAGGCGACGCTCTCCTCCCTACAGCACAGCGTGCTGTTTTTTTATATATTTTTTAATTTTGTCAACCTTTTTAACTCTGTCTTTCTGCTTCTTCCTCCTGATGTGAAGGGATCTTTGCCTCGGTGTTGATCTATAAGACAAAAATGACTCAAAAAATGTCTCGGGTGATATACAGTGTCCTGCTCTACTTCCTCATGGGGGCGGAGTTAGCGTCATGTCAACTGAGCATCAGCTGAGCTCATCATAGGAGCTACTCCTCATTGCATGATAAAAACCTCGTTAAAGGGTTAATAGAGGAGCCTTGTTGTGATGACTTCCTGAAGGCGGAGTTTCTGAAAGAGCAGGAGCTTCTTAAAGAGACAGAGGCCCAAATTGAAATCACCAACTTCAATTTATTTTCAGTCACATTTGATACACAGCAGTTTTCAAACTGAAGTTAACATTTACTTGATTGTGAACAATCAAGTAAATCAAGTAAATACTTGATCAGCTCCTACAGAGGGAGCGAATATGCAAACAACAACCAATTACGTTTTTAAGGTCAAGAACTAATGGGGGAAGATTGGCTCAGAAGTTCAGAACTCTTATAGTAGTGGGTTTGGTGTTTTTGCTAGCGTTTCTAAACACTTCACTGCCGTAACCTTTCCCCCCACCACCACACTGACCTCGTATCCACGGAGACGCTAACGGACGCATCTGCTTGCAGGAGGGGGCAACACATTCCGGCTGCTGAAGAGCCTTTACGACAACAACGTGGTGACGGAGATCAGGAAGAGAGTCCTGGAGGTGCAGCACACACACACACACACACACACACACACACACACACACACACACACACACAGCCGGGTTCCTCAGAGCCCAACAGCCTTGATGGCAACACGCAGACTCTTACATGTAGCAGTAGACGGACGCATCGCGAGGTCCGGCAACGTCTTCCCGTTCTCTGTGCCTCGTCGCAGGACGGCGTCCCGTACATGGGCTCCAGCGCCGGAACCAACGTGGCGACCATCAGCATCAGCACCACCAACGACATGCCCATCGTTTTCCCGCCGACCTTCAGTGCCATCGGCCTGGTGCCCTTCAACATCAACCCGCACTACCTGGACCCCGACCCCAACAGCCGCCACATGGGGGTGAGTCGAGAAACAACTAAAGAGACCCGACAGTGGTGGTCTCCAGACTTTCTGCCCTGAGAGACTAAATTGCTGGGTTCAAAAAACTTAAATAATTTTTACTTTGTTTTATTTGCTCAACATTAAAGCAAAGTGAAATTTTAAACCACTGTAGGTCGGTACAAAGAGAAGAACCAAGGTTTTATTCAACCGCGTTACGAGACGGCCCAAAGTTTGTGACTTTCTGGCGTTGGTTATTTTCTTAATTGGCTGAGCCGGGTTTATGAATATAATAAAACATCAGTAATCTTTAGCAGACGGTTATCTATTTAGAAACAATAAATACTAGTTTTATTTAGTATTTTCTTTGTTGTTTTATTTTCAACGTTAATTCTTTTAACATTTTTTAACACAACAACCAGGCTGAGCTGGTTTTCTGGTGTGAATACTTTAGCAAATCTCATCTTGTCCATCTTCATCTGATCAGTTCCACCATATTCTGCGCTTAGCTGATAAGCGTTATCAGCTTTGTGCTGCTTATCGCAGTCAAAGAAACGCTCAGTACTAAACAACCTGGATTTGACCTTTGTTTTAAGCTCTTTGTACTTAATTACATATCTCATACATATCTTTGTATGACGTCCAGACAGATTGAGACGGTTTCAGCTTCACGTGCTAGAAGTAAAAACCCGACGCCTCCACCGTGTTCCGGTGGATCCAGCCTGTTCTTCACATCGGCCTGCGCTCGTCTGAAACACAAACGTGTCGCAGTTCAAACGTAGTTGTGTTGAAAGGAGAAAAAAAAGAAACGAAATGACCCGTCCGCATGCTGAAAACTTGCAGCGGTTTGAATTTCTCCGGCACAGGAAACCGCAGAAGCAGAGAGCGGCGTCAGATTTGACGCACGTCAGCAGAATCCGTGTCGGCCGTTGCGAAATGTTGCTCTTTCTTCCATACGATTCTGCTGCTGCTGACCTCTGGAGTCGATGAACAAAACGGAATTTACCCTGAAGCGAACGACACTCTGCAGGACGCCGTGCTGATGTCGTGGTTTGGTCTTAGTTTAGTTTTAGACAGACTTTCTTTTATGCTTTGTTCCCCTGCAAATATTGGTGGAGAAATATAGAATTTTTCTGACAAATTTGGGTATATTCTTGCATATTATAGTGTTTATCCAGGATTTTATACATAGTTTCAAAACTATCTAAATCTCTGTAAGTTCTGTGGCTTTTCAAATCTTTTGTGGTTTTATTCTCCGTTTGCTAAAATGTAATTTTATTTTGGTTTTGAAAGATTCTTTATAATGTTTTACTTCTTCAGAATAAGAAATTATGAGCCATATGAATATGATTTACTGTGGCTTAGCGTTCGCATTGTCACACTTACATTTTTCATTAAAGTAAGAAATCCAGTAAGTATGGGCGGGACTCTGGTTTCGTTGGCCATCTTGTTTGTTGGAGTGCAGACGGTTTTTCCTCTTCTTTTTACAAAGTTTCATCCCGTGTCACGTTGTCATTGTGCAGGAGACCAGGGAGCAGAGGATAACCCAGTACCATGAAGAACCCAACACTCCCAGTGTTCTGGTGAGTCAGAACCGGCTGTTATAGGACTGTCCTGGTTTGTTTCCGTTTTCATTCATTGGTTTATTTATATATGTTAGGGACTGAGGAAGGCTCCCTGCTGCTGGTAGAAGGAGACAAAGCCACGCTGTTGGGAACAACAAAGGCTCGACTCTTCAGCAGGTGCTGTCACTTTAAGAGTCATTACGTTTATTTATGCAGGTTTATCGCGCAGCTGAAAAACTGAAATATTTACACACAAGTCAACTCCCACAATCCTCGTAAACCTTAATCACATTCTAATCAATATACAACTGGAATTGAACGTTTCCCTCCACTGATGTAACCTGATCAAATCAGATTAGTTCAAATTTAGTCCATTCCCCGACCATTACATGAGCAATATGGGAATCTAAACTTCAGCGTCCAATTGCATTTTCGTTTCAGATTTGAGAAAAGTTGCGGTGATTATTTGGAAGACTTGTATGCAAAGTTCTTACTGAGTGCAGAATACTCAAAGGTTGACATTTTTAATGTCAGAGGAGTTTACAAGGAAGTCAGATATATTCAGATATTGAGAATAAAAAAGTGTATCGTAAGTAACATGTTTTTATGGCATGTTCAGACAATCTGCATACATTCAGGCTGTGAAAGAGTGAGAGAGAGCAGGACGTTAGCAGGTAACAGGACGGCTGAACACGCGACAGCGTTTGTTGGTTTGCCCTCTGGACCTTTCAACTTCTGAGTTACGGTTTGGATCTGTTCTCTACGGATACAAGTAGAGACTGCTGTAATGCTAGCAGCGCTAATCACGCTAACTGCTAATGTAGGACACCAAAGACAAACGGCGACCGCTCTGTCTCACACATGTTCAGTCACAACCACATTTGTTTTCCCCGAGTGGCGCCGCATCCGCATCCATTCTTATTTTATGTTTGGGCCTCATCTTGTTGTCCAACGAGAGGCTGGTTTGTTTTCCTGTGACTGTCTCTTACACTCTGTAACCTGGACCCGTCCTCTGATTGTCCCGTTTGGGTGTTTCAGTGGGAAACCCTCGGTGGAGTTGGATCCCGGCAGTGACCTCAGCTTCCTGCTGACGGAGGCGCAGTGAGACGCCAAAGAGGAATGGAGACCACACGGAATAAAAATCTGAAGCAAACGAGCAATGTGTCTTTAATATGAACAGTTATTAATGTCGTTTTTTAAAATTTTTTTATTAAGCTCCCCCTCGTCAAAAATAACGTGGAGACAAACCACAGGACAAAAAAAAATGTGAACAAATCTGTTTATTTCAGCCCAAAAGTGAAATCATCTCTTTTTTTTATTGTTAATATAAACTCTAAGTGGAAGAATACATACATCAAAAAAAAAAAAAAAGTAAATATTTGCTCATAGCAGAAAGGAAAAGAGAGTGGTGTTAAATATATAAAAAGGACTGGAGTCAAATCGCCATCAGTCAGTTCAGAGTCTGATTCTGCTTTTAGATTCTCTACATTTTAATTTCCTTCTTTTTCAAATAGAAATCTTAACCGTGTTCAGATTCAGTTCATTCTACAGACCAGAGAATTGAGCCGCGACTCAAAGAGCTGCAGGTGGTTCAGACTGAGTGGGAGCAGATTTCACTCCAGCAACCACACACAACCGCAGATGTTAATCTTTCATTTATCGTGAACAAAACGAGTCGATTTAAACCAGTTTTGAAATGTGCTGCATCAAAGGCAAGTTTTTGTGCAGATTTGGCCACTCAAATCAAGATGGCTGCCATCAGGAAGCCCTCGAGATCCCCGTCAACCAATCAAATCTTTGCATTTGTGATTCTTCCACCTGCAAAAAGTAAAATTCTCTGCTGTTCGCAATCCCCTCACAGGCTTGTGTTAAAGTTATATTACAGGTTTATTGTAACAAATCATAAACAGTGGTCATTTTGGTTTACAATTCAACTGTGTGGTAAAGGCTATTGCATAATTAAAATTTTCTTTTTGGTGTCTGGACTTTAAAATGAGTTAAAATCTGGAATAAAAATAATCTTAATCTAGATGAAGCACTGATCTCCTAAATGGACAGTTTGTGATTAGTGCTACATCCATTTCAATGAATTTACATTTCACTGCTTTCTTAGGAATCCACGCCGAGTTCAGTCCAGGAACCTTCAGTGCAGTTAAACATCCAGAATTAAAAGCTTCTAAAAGCTTTTAGTTTTTTTTTTTTAGTTTTTTCTTTAATGAAGTGATTATTTTTAACTCAAAATGATCAATAAGGTGGAAAAGCCTTCAAAGTCATCATTTAAATAAACAAATACTATCATTTCCCCATTTTAGAAAGTAAAAGCTCATATTTAAAGGTTGAACTTGTAGACAAACAAACATTTTCACTTTCTTCTCATTTTACTTACTTCAAACTAAAGTTAACTTTTCAAGGCCGCCGACGTCCAGCGGAAATGTTGCAGATTCGTCTCAATTTAAGGGCACCGACAAATGCATTTTTGCAAAGAAATAGGAGCTTGTTTTGAGTCAATAATCCTTAATATTGATGAGAAAGTTCCACTTCCATTGGTGCATCATTTCACTTACAACTTGGGAAAAAATGGTCTTGTTATAAGTGAAATAATGTATCATTAGGACGAGTACTGTTCCATCAGCAATAAGGATTACTGATCAAGAACAACATGTTTTATGTCAATAAAATTATTTCAAATGCTATTTTGACTATAAACCAGACCCAAAACATTTGGTAAGATTTAGTGTTTTTGCAGTGCAATCTTTTATTTATTAATTTATTGATTTAATTTGCTTTTCAACCTGCAGTAGATGAAAGTTTGTGGGCCGGTCCTGAACTGAACCCAGCTGAAAACATCTGGACTCTGTTCAAAGAGGTGATCTGTGCCAGGAAGCCATCCGACATCGATTAACGCCAACAGTTCAGTTTTCGTTTTCTTCACCCTCGGTCAAAAAGGGTGAGACGAGTTGCAACATATGAAGAAAACTTTGAGCAAATATTAGTGACACTGTGTGGAGCAGATCTAGAGTGAATTCAAACTCGTGTCTTTAGAAATCACTGAAGTTACTTGATTTATTATTAGTCCATCCTGAAAGCAGAAAATCTACATTTAGCCTATTAAAGAAACACAACTCTAATTTTAAAGGTAAAGTTGTCCAAACTGCTCAGTGTTGATTTGTTGATTTAAATCTGTTCAAAGTTTTAAAGGTTTTCCAAAGGACTCAAACAGGAAGCCCAGGTCAGCAAACGTAGCCTCATGTGCTACGTAGCTGGCTAGGCTTGCTAAGAATTAAGAAACTAAGATGAGAGAAATATTATGGCCTGTTTAGAATGAGTGACCCTATTTACACCATGTAGAGGTCCATGACTGTGACCTGCACATGGTAAACGTGACGTACGTTCAGGTTTTCGTCTTTAACAGAAATCCAACCAGTGTGGAAAAGCAACGACGCAACTTTCATTGTTGTGAAGGCGTTTTGCGCTCTCGCCCGCTTTCTGCTGTTGCAGTGAAATCGTCAAAATATGCAAACCCAATATGGGCAAATAGCAAAAAAAAAAAAAAAAAAGTTGTTTTTGTTCCTTTTCTTTTAAATACATAAACACACATAACACAAGTCAGATCAGAGTCATTAGAAGAAGAAAAAAAAAGCAACCAGCTGATTTTTTTTTCTTTTTAAGTTTCTAGCGAAGCTGCCAGTCACCAGTTTGAAATCTGAGGACAAACTACAAGGAAATAAACAAAAAAGAAAAAAAAAAGAAAAAAGAGGCTTCAGTGCAGGAAATGGCAGGAAAGTAACAAGTGACCACGGATTAAACCCCGCCCCTTAGCTACAGTTGCTATGGCTGCTCCGGTAGCTAAAAAGCTGCAGAGGAATGTAACAGCAAGTGTGGATCATTGTTTTGTGTATTATTGACTATTTTCCCTCTCAGAGGATCAATACATTCCATCCATAAATTGAAGGTTTTTATTCTGTGCCGTTTAGCAGCTCAGCTCGACCAGATAAAAACGCACTTTTAGTTCATTTGACTCTCGGACTTCATGCGACAAGAAATTTAGACCATTATGATTTTTTTCCTTCCACAGAGAATCAATTTTTTAACAATGCTACTTCATTTTAATGAAGTTGACCCTCTCCAGGCAGGTGTTGCAGATTTGCAACAACTTAGCCAGTCTTTGCAAGTAATTTGAGCCTGAGAGGGTTAAACTAAACTACTTATCCTTAGCAGTAGCAGGACCGCTAAATACATCCAAATGCTAACAACGGTAGCATTAGCATTCCAATGTATTTAATGCAAACTCATTTGCATAGCATCAAATAACATAATTACTTAGTATTGTGTGTTGTGTATTTTTTTTTGGCTACAGACAGCAGGGGTCCCCAAAGTGGGCCCTCGAGGGCCCGGCATGCTGCATGCTTTGGTTCTCTCCCTGATTTAAGGCACCTGGATCAAATGATGGCTCGTTTGAGGCCTAAGAACAACATTGACCTGCTGAAAAGGTTGTCACTACCACCAAGGAGAGAACTAACACATGCAGGATGCCGGGCCCTCAAGGACCCTCTTTGGGGACCCCTGACATAAAGGCTGTAGATATGTGTAGTAACACATATCGGCCTCCAGGGGTCAGGATGTATTCTAAAACCGTTTTCCTTGGGTCCGGGGTTTGACCAAGTGATCGGAGGTGAAAGAAAACCGTTTCTTGATTGTGTTAAATAGAGCTGGACCCGCTACTGCAAATCACCGTTACTGTTTTGTACAAAATGCATTTAAAAACACATAAGAAAACCCTGCAGACCCCTTCCCCGAACCCCCCAAAAGCACAACTCAACATACTACAGTTTCAGTCCGTTACCAAACACCACACAAAGCAGGAGAGAAAACAGAAGAAAAAGATGCATCACTGCGACACTCTGATCATCTCAGAGCAAATAGTCCATCTTTATCCAAAACTATTCCAGAACCTAGTTTTCTCAATCTCAATGTTGCTGTTTCATTGCTGCTGTTGGTCCTAATCCAATCAGCTGACTCTGGTACTTACAGTTATGAATACTGGTCCTGCTGTTACCCGTCCTCCATCAATCACTACGCTTTTCTTCACGCATCAGCAGTTCTGGACTTCAAGGCCGACGAGACCAATCGGCTCGTCGGCCGTTTAATGTCGCGACGAAGCAGAAACAAACAAAAGACGGAAAAGGACAGAAGAAATGTGCAAATCTGTTGCGAGGCCAAACCCGACGGGACAGCTGCTGCTCCCTGTGCATGCTGGGAGCGTTTCGAACGTGTTGCTTTTAGTGTTAGAGAACCAGAGAGAGACGGAGCGCCGGGTTCACGGAAGCCGCTAAGGAAGTGCTTCAGCGTCGTGAAGCCGCACAAAGAGACGGCACGATCCTTAAACTTTTAAAAACGCGCGGTGTAAAGCGTCGAGGGTTGTTTTCTTTTTTTTTTTTTTATCTGTGACCAGTGTTTTTCCAGCTTCTGTTTTGGCACAAATGCAACATGATTTAAAAAAGAAAAAAAAAAACATAAAAAAAAAAGCTAAACAAATACAGTTAGCCGTCCCTCCCCCAAACAGTCATTACAGTGATTCTCTCTGAAGCTGGTTTACCCTGATTTCTTCTCTCCTTAACTTTCTCTCTCCCTTTGCGTCTTAAAACTCTCGGCCTCTAAGCGTCAGTGTTCCCGTTCTCCTCTGGCTGCAGCTGCTCCTTCTCGGTGCAGTCCACCTGCGGGGGGCGCACTCTCTTAAAGAAACCCAGCTGACAAAGAAGAGAAGGGGGGAAAGAAAAGAAAAGAAAGATCATTTGGAAACTTTCCTACAAAACAAGACGCATAAGGTGCGGCAAAGCAAGTTAAACTGAGTGTTAATCAATCAAACTGAGACATTTGTTCTCTAATCCTTCAGGTGACAGAAGGCCGACCTTGTGTACAAGCAGCCTCACCTTGTACATAATGAAGATGAGCAAAGCCAGCAGCAGGAGCCCTGCGAGTACCGCCAGAGCGACCACCCAGCCCGGTACCGGCTGGGCCGAGTCCGCCACCCACGTCACCGACACGCTGACCTGGAAACAAGAGCAGGGAGCAAAGCTCAGCTTCCCCTTCAGGAGTTTGCCTGGGCTTTTAGGATCTTCCACTAGATTTTAACATCTCTCTTCAAAATCTAAGGTTAGAAAGAAAGATCTAGACATTTCGTGTGCAAACCACATCAGCAGTTGCAGAAAGCATCGGGGGAGAGGGGATGAAAAAGCTTTGATTTTCAGCGATGAAATGAAACCAACATTCTAACACATTTCACACTTTTCAAAGTGCAAAATTTGTATTTGTGCTTTTTAGAGAATATATTTTGATTAGCTAATAACATTGCTTCCTGTCCATGGAAAACCCTGGCGCTGTTAAACCGTATGCTGATGACTGAGTGTTTCACTGGGACTCACGGTGGTGGAGTTCGCCGGCAGCTCGGTCCGCAGGTTCTTGTACGGCATCTCAATGACTTCAAACGACGCCGTCGATCGAACCACGTAGGAGCGATTCTGATTCTCAGTCTGAGGGAGGAAACAAGATGAAGCAGACCAGGTAACGCATCACCAAAAGCAACAGTCGACCTTTGAAAACCGAGCTCCGTAAAACCCTGTGGGGGAAAATCCCCCCAAAAACATACATGTAAGTGACTTTAACCGTCTTTGTCATCTGACTTTTGATTAAGCTTTTGACATGTCGCAAAACAGAAAAAAAGAAGGAAAACGTGAATGCAGTGTGAGTCTTAGGCAGCAGTTATAAGAGCTGCTGTGTTGCTGTACCCTGAGGAAGTTGTTGACATCCAGTCTGGAGTAGATGAACAGGATGGCGTTCTTGTTCCTCTCCAGACGGCCGACCTGACACCTCAGCTTCAGACACTCGGCTGTGTTGCAGTTCTAAACAAGCAGGCGCAGTCAAATGAAAACAGTAGGTAAAAATTCAGGAAACTCGGAATGAAAGAGAAAATAAGAAGATTGTGAGGAATAAAAATAGTCTGTGCTGTGTGTGTGTGTGCGTGTGTGTGTGTGCGTGTGTGTGTGTGCGTGTGCGTGTGTGTACCAGTATCTGCAAGTCGTTTTGCGTCTCTCTGGCCTCCAGGTCTCTCTTCCTCACACGTCTCGGGTTTCCTCCCTCCATCTCTCGGTCCCTGACGACGCTGGTGTTCTTCTGGGTCCCCAGCGGGTTCTGAACGGCACAGAAACCACATTTACTGGGAATTTAGTGGCACGACCTGTGACCCCAACTGAACGCCGAGTGAGACGAATCAAAAAGCAGTACGTCAGCAGTTGCTGTGGATACTAAACCGATGCAGGGTTTACACAGGTTTCACCAACTTAAATCTAAGACTTTTTAAGACCAGCATGATTGAAATTCAAGATCTGTATCGCGACAGAAAGGTAAAAAAAAAAAGGTATTATATTGTAGCGCTAGACTTTTTTCCACAGAAGGAAGGTGTAATCGTACAGGTTGGCAACTGAGGCGAAGGCAAACGTCGTCCAGCAAACTGCCAATAAATTTACACTTGCGCAAAAAGGCTAGCTGGCTAGCAAGGGATTATCAGTAGCTAGTTGGCCGTAGCTTCAACAGCCTCGAGTCGCAGAACGCAACTAAAATGTTGCTTTAGGCTCAAACATTCACCTGACAGAAACGTATCATAATAACAAAAAAAACTGCATAGCACACGAGATTAAATAGTCCTGCTGCGTCAAAATGTAAGACCTGAGATTGACATGTTTAAGGCCAACCTATATTTTTTAAAATGAATTTGACATTTTACTTTAATTTAGATGCATGAATTTAAGATTTTTCAGAGATGTGTGAACACCTGATGACTTTCCATCATCGTGTTTTTTACAGCGTTCTGAAGGACCAGCGTCTTCTGTGGTTCGCCAGCATTCTGCTAGATAATTGTCATGGCAGCACTCTTCATCCTCACCGTCTAGCATCAAACATCCTTCACCTACAGACACGTTTCCGAAAAAAATGCAGCTTTTTGCTGCAAATGTTGCAAATCAACGAGATTCACGGACACAGATCAACGCTGTGTAATGAATAAACGAGTTTTACTTTTCAAGCTTAATCACTGAAAACTTTTCAACAAGACTATGAAACAGAGCTTTTCACAGTTTCCTCCTTCCAAGGGAGAAAGCTGTAAAGACACTTTAATTCTCCTTATGGGTAGAAAAGAGCAGGAACAAAGAAGGAAACCGTTTCCGGCGTCTTACGGAGACGTTGAGCGGGTTGATCTCCACGTCCGTGGTGCAGTTGATGGGCCCCTCGGTCTCAAAGCTGGTGATGTAGAGCAGAGAGCCGTTCCTGAAGTGATACGGCCATTCCACCTCCAGCGACGCCTTGCTGAACGTGCTGGGCCCGTTGTTCAGCAGCTGAAAGAGCATCACTCTGTCAGCGTGAGGTCAGAGCCACTGCAGCGGCCACAGTGGACTTTTTCGTCATCATATTTAGTGATTTTTCATCAAACTGTTCAAAATCCTCCAGCAGGTTTCTGAGAGATCGATGATCAGCCAGAAAACTGCGATCCGTGCATCCCTAGATTTCATATTCAAAAATTCAAGAATTCCTGCAAAACCAACAGCGATGCAGCATAAAACGTGCACTTTGTGACCTTAAATGCACAAAGTAACATAATTAAAAGAGCAAAAGGTTCTGGACAGTCCACTGTGCTACTTTAAATGCTGACGGCAAACAGAAACAGAAGCAGCAAATACAAGAAAATGAACTAAAAAGCTCCACTCCAGCTGCCATTTTCCCACAATTAAATGTGTGTTGCTGAACATTTAAAGTAAAAAAAGAAAGAAAGAAAAAAAAGAGCTAAGGAACAGAAACGCATTTAACTTCATTTAACTATTTATTTGCGTTTTTGTACCTCGTAAACGTGAAGAATCTGCGGCCCAATGTCGTCTCCGAGCACCGGGGGGTTTTTGGGCTTCCAGTTGGCGATGGGCAGCAGAACCTGAGAGGGAGACGACGACCTGGGGGAGCAACACACACGGTTTCCACGGTTACGTCCCCACATGCAAGAGCAGACAGTGGGAACAACTCGGGGCAAGTCTGACTGCCCGGTTTGTTCCCGCTCTACTTCCGACGAAGAAACAAGAAAAAAGATCAAATTGTTTATTTGAGAAGAATAAATCAGGGTGTGGAAAGGAAGCTGAATCTGTGCGTTACCCTCTGATGGAGGCTTTAGCCAGGATGTCCAGCTGCGTGACGCTGGACACTCGGGGACTCCTGTTCTGAAACTGGTTAGAGCTGAAACACAACGACAACTTCAGTCACCTCCGCGAATTAGAAATGAGAGAAAAAAACAACAACAAAAAAAACTCACAATGGTATAAATATAGGAACAGATGGATGATATGCAGCTCTGGAAGATTCACTTTAATGTGAACAACATGTTTTTCCAGACTGGAGGTGATGAGATGAATCGCCAAAATAAAAGTGGAACTAAACAAAAGGCAGGCTGCAATTTTTTATTTCAGGCGTTTTAAAAATCAAATCAACACTTCACTAATTATACGTGTTTTTTTTTTTCTTATTTTTAAATTGGCTAATAAAACAATGATGTTTGTAATAACTTTAAAAAAAGAGGAAACATTTAAGTTTCTCCATAGTTTGGTTGGTCCTGGAACTTTTTATTTTCTCCCTTTTTATGACATTTTTTTGACTGATGCACTGAATATTAATTTATTCTGACAGAAATAAACCGAGGTTTGAACATAACTGTCTGAAAAGCAAAGTTTCATCGAATCATATCTGGGGATTTACAATGACTAACGTCTTTATATAAGCAACGTTTTCTTGTTCCCCATCTTCATGTGGCATTTTGTCAGTCTGGAAAATGCGGCACGTCGACGTTGCCTTATTGTAAAGCAACACAGCTGTGCGGCAGCTCCAGATGGAAGTTGCTTTAAGCTCACACTTTTAAAGTCGAGGAAGTGAAGCAGAGAGGCGAGGAGGAGTGAAACCAAATCCAGCTCAAACCTCTCATTAACATAGTTCAGTTCCCCCCCTCCTCCCTCCGCTTTCTCTCCCACAGAAACACAAACACTCAGGCGAGCGCCGGGGGGGCGATGCATTCTCTCACTTTCATCCTTTCTGGTATTTAGACGAGTCCTGACTAACAAAATCAGCCTCCTACCGAATTACTTGTTGGCTTCTTTAAGGAAGCAAACATCCAGATTCGTGTTCACTGTTCCCTATGTAACCAAACTATTTCCTCGCTCAGCCAGCAGGTGGAGCTGCTCTCGTTCCAGTTAAAACTGGGGATGAGGGGAGGTACCTGACAATCTGGAGGTCGAATTTGATGGAGGTGTCCTCCTCAGACAGCTGGTGTACGCTGAATCCCAACTCCGCCAGGATCTGGCCAATGAGGCAACAGAACAGGAGCCGAGGACCAATGAGAGACCGGGGAGAGAAAAAACACACACACAAAACATCTCAGGATACTTTCTAAAATATTTTAAAACAATGAGAAAGTCTCCCAAAAGTATTGCAGCTTTTTGTCACTTTACAACAACAGATTTAAATGGAATTTATTGGGACAAAATATGACAAGGTTCAAGATGACGAGTATTTTCCGAGAAGGCTATAAGTAATTTACTCTGCAATGTTTTTAAAGATGCCGAGTGTTGGCTTCGCTGCGTTGCCTCCGACTGACCGTAGTGTCTTTCTTCATGGGGTTTCCCAGGTCACACACCACCATCTTGGTCTCGTTCTCCTTCTTGTAAGCACAGGAGAGCCGAGAGAGAGTCTGTGGAAGAACAGGCAGGAAGGAACGTCACAACATCATCATCGCACACATATGACCAGTGATAATGGATCAGATCTTAGATAATAAACAAACAGAAGTTCTGTCTTTTTTTTTTTTTGGCCAGATCCAATTTCTGATTTGAATGGAGTATTTATTTATTTTTTTATGCTCGTTTTCTTTGCTAAAACAAAAATGACAGAAAGAAATCATCAGAAGGTGGCGTTTATTTAAATCATCCCGGCCTTCTGGGCGCATCAGGGCCAGGCTGGGGACGTTTTTGCTGATGTTTGAGAGCATCGTCGCAACGCTGGCGCACAAGATGCAATTTTAAGAAGAAAAAAAGTCTTAAAATTAAGAGAAAAAAAAGTTGTTTTAACGAGAAAAGCAGATGAGTTACTAGGATCTGACGCGAGCAAACGCACACGGCTGTTTGAACGATCGTCTCGAAGTCCTGCTACTGACATTTTGATGATGTGTTAAAAAATTAATTTTTTCTATTAAGTAATAGCTGTTAAAACTTACATCAAAGCAAGCCTTCACAACGTTCCTCCTGTTGGATTTTTAAAAATGTATTTCTGAATTCAAAATCCAAACAGAAAGAAACTTTAAAAACACACTCGTTGAAGAAGATTACATAATCTTCCAAACCCAAACAAAAATTCAATTACTAGTAATACCTTCCTGGTCAGTACTTCGTTGGAAATAAAAAAAAAGAGTTTGTTTAGTTCATAGGGTTGGAATGTAGATGACAGATTTAAAGACACTAACAGGGAAACACTGATCCACAGCGAGCTTTGTAGTTTTCTGACGACTTCCTCTGTCAGGTGAGTCGTTACCAGCATATTAATATTTTGGCTCCCAAGCAGAGGAAATCAAACAGAACTAAAGAGTTCTTTATCAGATCATGAGTTCTGCAGGTTCCGTCGTTAATCCATGTGCTTGAAGACAAGGATTACTTGGAGACCTCAAAGATAATCCTTTGTGTTTTATGCGTCTTTTTTGGCGTTCGCTGTGGATGGAAAACCAGGTCTACCTGACTGCGGACCACCCCGGTGAAGTCGGCCTGTTGAGGCGGGTAGACGTGCAGCTCGGCCTCGTAGGCGCCCTCGCCCTTGTTCTCAGCCGTGACCATCAGGGTGAGGGCGTTGTCGTCGCCGATGTAGATCTTCTCCCGGTCGCTGCGGCCAATCAGAGGACATGGACAGTTACAACCTCCAATAACTCTCTAACGCCGTTATCTCTCCATGATTGGTTTCATTTAAATGGACTTCGCTGCACCGACCTCTTCACCGACAGCTTGAGGTCGGGTTTGCAGATGTTGTCTTCGCCACAGTCCAGCAGAATGTGAGCCTTGCACAAAACGGAGAAGAGGAGAGAACAGAAAATCAGACCGACTGTCAGAGTGACCAGCCTGAGTGCTTCAGGACCAAGAACAGCCACTAGAGGGAGATTTACTTTTTCTATAGTGTCTTATTCACAGTCCAGACAACACTATGGGCTTCATTCAGAGTTTAGCTCTGTGCTAACATGGTGCCGATTTAACTTCTCTGTTTAAGTTATCATAGCAACAGTGGCACTTTTGACACGTGAGCCAAGATGGTGGAGTCAAAAGTCTCGCAGGTCGATCAAATTTAAAAAAAAGAAGAAGAAAAAGAAGACAAAAAAAATGTAATCTAATTTTAGGTCTTTTTTAATAGAAAAAAAAATATTTTTGAAGGAAGAGCATTTTCCTGCAAAAATACTTTATTTTCTTAGGTTTTCTGTATTAAAAGCACAATGGAGTACTGGAGGCACACAAAGAAAATAAGATGAAACCATGAGGGTAAAGTTTATAATATTATAAAAACAGCATCTAAACTGTAAATTTCTCTTTGGGATCAATAAAGTATTTTTGAACTGAATTGAATGTGAATAAAATCATAAACTTACGAGAATAAAGTTGTTGTATTATGATAATAAAGTTGTGATTTTGCAACTTAGTTTTTGGTCGAGACACATCTGAATCATTGTTGATCTGCAACAGGGGGCCACACAACAAACAAACAAACAAAAAAAAAACTCTGGACACCCCTGACACAGAGGAAAAGACCCCAACCCCAACTGCAGTGAGTACCTGCTTGGTGACGTTAGTTGGTGCCCAGATGTTGACGATGGGCAGCAGTCCGGTCTGATCTGCAGCCAGCTGGTAGTCCAGACTGTACTCCATCGCCACGGAGATGGGAGTGATCTTATCCCGAAACTCGCGGTCGTCCTGGGTGATAAGGAGAAGGGAATCAGATGTGCAGCTTCAGGTCGACTTTTTTCAGCTTCATTTTACGAAAATATTCGGTACTTTTTGTCCGTTTTTTAAACTCTTGCCTTTCCCAGCCTCTCTTTACACTTTCAGATGAGGTCACACAGGTGGATGACTAATATGTGCAGAATAATTATGAGCATTTAAACCTGCAGATGCAGGTTTCACAAAGTCAAATTGAAGACTTTTTCCTCCTTGGATTAAAACAGTTCCCTCCCCACACCTAATCCTGCATCAATCTCCTCACACTTTGCTCTCTGAATGTATCTGACGTGTTTCTTGTTCTCCTGCTTCCCAGAACATCTGGATTTATACAGACATTAAATGAAATACAGGTGGAAGTAGGTGGCCTCCACAAACACTGGGCTGCACTGGATTTTATGAACAAGAACATGAAAAGAGAGTTAAAAACAAATGGGAACTATTCATGTTTTTATTTAAAAATAAATAAATAAAAATTAGTTTTCATTCCATTCTCTGTCCCATAAAACCAAAGGGGTATGAGTAATAATTCAAGGCCCTTTTACATAGCTGAACATTGATGTAATCCGTAATGATAGCGCAATCTCTCACTCACCATGTGTGCAAATAAGGCATCACACAGGCCTTCGAAGAGTTGCAGTAACAAATCCACTTCTGAAGGAACAGAACGTAAAAGGGAAAGGGAGGCTGTGATGGCAAGAAGCCGACTGACGGTAGAAAGCTGGACCCGCCCATCATGAAGAACTGAAAGTTCTCAACTTTGCATGTGGGCCCGTCACTGTAACAAATTTTGCTGGAAAATAAATTGTTCCAGGATTGTCGCGATGAGCTGAATGTTGTTGTGAGACCATTTCCAAGGTGGGTTAAATAATTTAATCTAGTCGAAACGTTCCCCAAAAGAGTGAAAATAAAGCAAACATTGTTGCTTCACCTTCTCCTCCTTTGGACGTCTGACACCACAAAACCTGGGAATCCATATCCTCCTCTTTCCGTGGTTCACAGGGTCGCTTCGCTTCCATGTCTATTATTTAGCATCGTTTGTGTAAAAAGAAAAAAAAAGGTGCGACGCCCACATGATGAGTGTTGGAGAGGTGCGCTCTTGCACACTGTAAAAAGCGGGATGTCAGAACAACAGGAGGTTCAAACTCCGCTCATCATTTTTACCTCACAGAAAAAGTAAGTAAGATTTAGGCTTTGGCGTGCCCTTCGACCCCTACAGACTCACACTGATGTGCGCTACGTACAAAATGTTTTAGCACAAAACATCTTTTTCTTCTCTCCACAATTTTGTTAATAGTAAAGAGGACTGGATAATAAAAAAATACAATAACTTTTCTTTTTTTATCTAAAGGAAAATCACAGCTGTACAGCTTCTGCTGCAACAATCCAAACTCTGAGTCACTTGTATGTATGTATATATATTATTGTTATAAAGGCTGAGCCAAGAAAATGTATGTCCGTATCAAACAAGTAGCCCTTCGTGTTACTCTGTACCCGTGAAGTAATCGGTTGGTGACCCTGGGTCTATGACTTCCTCACCCTTAAATAGACTTCCTGCTCCTCGCAGGCCAGCCGTCTGTTGCTGTTCACCGTCATGTTCTTAGAATACTGATAGGTGGCACTGTGGAGGAAGAGGGCGCGTTTGGTCGCCTCCTTCTGCTTCAGGCGGTCCAGCGTGAGGTCCACACGAAAACCTGCGGCAGGAAGTAGGAACATGGTCAGGAGAAGGGAACACTTTCTATCGCAGTACTCCTTCGATATGAATAAAACAAGTGACAATGACTGTGGAAAGTAGTGTAGAGCTCCCCTCCCCCACTTGTTGCTACCAGCTGTCAGAAACTCAACGAACACAGGAAAATAAAAAGCTACCTTAAACTTTCTTTCATTAACATTTTCCTACGCTGTACTTGAAAACATACTTTAAAAAAAGAACACAGATGGAAACGTGACCTGGAAATTTGGAAAGCGAATTTAGTAGATCTACACTTGGCCAGAACATTCTGTGTTAAAGAATGTTTAAAGTGTTTTTGGTCAGATGTAAAGATGCAGTCGAAACTGAATTTTATGCTTTCACTAGCTGTAAGCAATAATCACCCACTGCATAATAACAAGAAGAACTTTCACTTTTGGAACTGAATTTGTGAAATAGTTGATCCACAGTCTTAGGTTATTGACTGTAACCATAAACGGTTGCAGCCGGTTCACTCACTCAGAGAGGACGGAGCTCCAAACCCGCCGGCTGCCAGACAGTACTTCACTTTAAAACTGTGAAGCAAAACAAACTAAACTCAGTGAAAATCAGCCACGCTGACACGACTGGAGTCAACTTTCAGTAAAGCTAAGGGTTTGCTTAAAACCCCTAAACTTTCAGAAGAATTTAGCTAACAGACATAATAGTAGAAAATGTGCAATGTCAGGATGAAAACGGACAATTCATCCGAGATCTGAGCACTCACCACGACACCTGCGTGTTGGTTTGAGGAATGGTGCAGCTCTTCTCCTCTGGGTTGATGATCTGGGGGCTTATGTCTAACGTAGCGTTCACACTGATCACTGGACGAGCTCTGATGCACACAAACACAGACTGGCGTTTATCGCATCGTTTATTGTAATACATTTATTGGCACGATAATCTAGATTTATCCTGGTCACGATAATTTACCATTAATTATGTTTAAGACTGTCAGCGCTGTTAGTTTTACTATTTTCCCCCACTGTCTGTCCAATAAAAGCATAAAGAAATATGAATTTGTGTTTAGTGGTACAAATCACACTTTTTATGCGACTTTTATCCTAAAGAAATATTTGACAAATGGGAATCTTTTTCAAGGGCAGCATTTGTGATTGCATTTACAATTGCTGTGACACACAACAATGCAATTACCTGAAACTTTAATAAATCGTCACTTGTATCGCCATCACAATATCGTCACAAAATATCACGATAAAACTGAAAGTCCAAATCGCCCACGCTTACTTCAGTCTGTTATAGGACGTCCACTACGTATGACTAAGACTTGAAGTGATTGAATAGAGGAACATAGTTTGTGCTCTGAAAGTGTTTTGCACAGATTAAGAAGGGTTAATGTGTTTTAACATGAAGGAGGATGTACAAAGCATCATGTGAATGCTCCTCTGTATTTGTAGCTTCTGTAAAGCAAGTAGGAGTGAAGTGAATGAAAAACAGTATTCTTTGATATCAGAGGTGGCCTCGATCATTAAACTTCTCCCTTTCAGGCAGAGGCATCAGCAGGGGATCACACACACACACACACACACACACACGCACTCACCCACCCCCATCCCCACACACACACACACCACGCACACACACACACACACACACACACACACACACACACACACACACACACAGACGAGAGTTAGATGGGATTACCTGTATAAAACAGCCTTGTCCGCTCCAAACGCTCCAACTACCAAATCTGTTGGACGCAACCACGGTTCGGTTTTATTCCCAGCAGAGTGATAAAAAGCCTTAAATGGATCTGTTTAGAAAAGTGTTGGTGTGAGTAAAGTTTACCTGGATATCCGTTCTGGTCTATGTCTGTACTTCCTGTCATGGAATAGCCAAAGCTAGCAGGCATGTAGCTGGACGCCCATTTACCCTGCAGGACCTGAGGGCAGGGAAGTCGGAAAAAATGAAGAGATTTTGAATCTGGAATTTTTATACATTTGTTTTATTTTTTTTTAATTGTTTTTATTTTGTCCATTTAAAATAAATGTGACAACAATGACAGCAGAAGCTGATTCTGAGAGTCATAATCCTATTGCGGGAAAAAAAAAATCCAATAATTCATTGTTAAGCCTCTTATTGTGAAGGTCTGTAGCTAATTTGGTGCTACTACAACAGAAACGCTGATCAAACTCAGTTTCACAGGATAGGACGGAGTAAGTGTGACGAGGGCGGGTCAACTTTGACCCTCGTCTCATGCTGTGAAATGAGCTCGCGTCTGAAGACAACGGTTGAAGGTTTACCTGAGAGGCTGTGGAGTCGATCCCCGAGGCCTGGCCGTTGTGGATGTAGACCAGGCCGTTGTGGTCCGGACCTCCGTAGGGAGCAGAGATGGCCACGTCTGAGGAGGGAGACATTGGGATCAGAGTCTGCTCAAGACGAAGCGTCAGGGAAACTGACGACTGCAGCACTGGTTCAGCTGTTTGACGTGCAAATCTTGGTTTCAGGGTCTAAATTAAAATCAGTTTCTAGTTTTTTTTTGAAATTTTCCTTGAGCAATTTCAAGAAAGTATCAAAATAATTACCTCATTAGAAGCGATGCAGAGTCTGCAAGTAATTCATTAATTTCAATCGAAAGTGATATATATCGACATATGTCCAATTCAAAAACAGTTTTTTCTGCTAAATTACTGAATAAATATTCACATGAACTAAACAACAAAGATATTAGTTATTTTTAATATGTTATTCAGATTATTCAAATTGGTACCAAGTCTGGTTAGACTCATTTAGCTGTTCCTGTGTTTCAGGAGCCCTGGTTCATTCATAGAACTACTTTGAAAAGTTGCTTCAAAAAGGAGAATTGGGGTCATTTGTGCTGGTTCTTATATGTTTAGCATTGAGAAGCTAATTTAGTCTTAAAAACCTTCGCTGCCAGGCTAGCTCCTTTAGCACAGCAGTACTCTTTTCCAGCATCTAATCAGATTGTTTTTTTTAAAGGAGCAGCAACGCGGCAGTGGGGCGAGAGTAACGGCTTCGTCGTCTATCGTTGTTTGTGGCTGTCGCTAGCAGAAGTACCAGAAACCAGAACCTTTGTGTTACAAAAAAAATAAATAAATCTAATTAAAATTTTTACACATGAAATTCTATGTCATTAGTTCAAATTTTATTCGGAATAATTGTTCAATACGTCATTTTTAGTGTTCATATTGCTTGTGATTTCCTCCCTGTTTCTATAATAAGTTCCTCTCCATCTCATAATCTTGAAATAGCTTCCTTACATACTGGCAGCAATTATTCCACCTGGTAGTGGTCTTCTCCTTGTAGTGTGGTGCACAGTGACGTGCGGTCAGCACTGCTTGCACATGTGCTGATCCAGAGAGCGAGAAAGAAGTAGTTTTCAGTTGTACTTTAACGGTTTTCTCCTTTGCTGTGGAGCACAGCACGAAATTAACAATATCTACATGTCCAAGTTTGATTGAGTTAACGGAGTTATTCTACAGCGGCTGTGGGATGGCATGTAATAAAAAATAGTGTTTTTGTGTGATTTCATCCATGTAGTCACAGAATCCCCATCAACCTTTTTCTGATCTTTTGAATTCTGAAAGCTCCAGCTCTATTTTTCCCATCTGAATTTTCTCCATGCGCCTGACGGCTGTGTGCCGTGCTTCATAGTAAATCTGGTCTAACCTTTGTACCCGTCCCTGTCCAGGTTCCCCCGCTGCGATGGCCGAGCCGTATCTGGCGTAAACCTCCGCTCCGGTCAGCAGCTGCGGCGGCTGGAAGGAGAAGCCGCCTCGGCTCAGGTAAACGGACACCTGGGGGACACGCAGCAACCAATTACACGTTCTGTCTGCTGGATCAATCCTACACCGACTACTCATTTCCGCTCTTATATTTCACAGTATTTTGACAAAAACTTTAAACAAAATCTACAATATCATTTAATAGCTTCCAAATAAAATGTATTTAAATGATGGATCACTCTCATTGCCATTTTATTATTACAGATGTATTTCAAAAGATAACATGCTGTAACATTGGGTTCATCTGGTGATAGTTTGAGAGCATTTGATGCAGAATATGAACAAAATACAATCTGGACATATTCAGAGAAGGATCTCTGTAGAGGTGAACCGTCACATGTGAAATGCTTTTAAACATCTGTGTCGTCATGACAGCACAAGTATTCAGGGTGGGGTTGTTTAAAAATCTTTTCATTTTTTTTCACTGGTGTGGATAAAACATTTACTGTGTTGACAGTGATTTAGCTTGATCTTCTCCAGCTGCTTTGCTACGTGTGCACATTCAGTGAATGATGTGATTGTGTGTGTGTGTGTGTGTGTTTGCATGGGGGCGGGGGGTGTTGATGGGTGTGTTTCCTACCTGTCCCACCTCCCTCAGTTTCCCATCCGAGCCTCGGTCCATGAAGAGGGGAGCTCCGATCAGCACGTCCACAAACCTGAAACCCAGACACCACGGAAATAAGAACCAACCGTCTCGTCTGGTCCTCACTGCTCACTTCACAGTAAAACTCACTGAAATAAGACACCCTCAGAACCCGACACTCACAGAATGAGTTTCCTGCGTGAACAGCACGTTAACGGTTTATTAGCGCTCTTTAGCTAGCAGTAAGGGTTGCAAATCACCAATGGCAGGCAAGATAAACATGTCCTCTCCCAGCTTTGTTTGTTACAGATTAGGAGAGAATCAAGAGACTCCATCGGACACAAGTTACGTTTCCATTAACTGCAGAATTGAGCAAATTGAAATGACAAAATATATATTTGCTTAACAGAAACAGCCATTTAGAAGAGACTCACAAAGCTTTTTTTACTTAGATGAGGTGGGTTTTTGTTTTTTTAGCCGTGTAGGAATAGAAGCATCTGGCAAAACTGGAACAGAAAGATTTCTTTCGCATCATGAGTGATGTGATTGACAACCGAATGTCACTACGATAGAAACGACTTACCACGTGAACAAGCTTATTCACGTGCGATTTTAATTTTATTTCACATCTGACAAAAGCCTCACAATTGTGAAATTGTGTTTTTGACATTCGACTATAGACAAAGATTTGTAACGGGAATGCAGCCCATGTCAGGTTTTTATAGTTTTCAGAAAACCTAAATCCCCCAGTTGTTTTTACATGCGGAGCAAAGGTCACCCGCGACATGTCACAGCATTTCATTAGCAGGTTTAGGTGAGTGCAGATGTCTGCTTTACATAACGGCATTTTCACACGATGCTCCAATCTTGAAGAGCATCTAAAAGACGTGCCTGATCATATGCATATCCAAAGGAAACAGGAAGACATTGGTGTTGAAGTGTTTGGCACAGGTGTCAATAAATGTTGCCCTTGTTGAGATGCGACGCAACACGTTTCTGAGTGAATTAATCGATTCTTTTCACAGGCTCTAAATAAGCAGAGCCATAAACACTTCAAATGTGACCTCTGCGTTTAATGATGTGCATTTAATGTGACCTCTGCGTTTAATGATGTGCATTTAATGTGACCTCTGCGTTTAATGATGTGCATTTAATGTGACCTCTGCGTTTAATGATGTGCATTTAATGTGACCTCTGCGTTTAAGTGGAGCAAATGGTTCCACTTAAACGCCGCCAAGGCAGGAGGTGGCGTGGGGTTTACACGCGTGCAACATTAAGCCTTCGAGTGGTTTTTGACGCCGCAGCCAGGAAATGTCAGTTGTTAGAGGACGAGGCAGGAAAACCACACTTACCCGTCGCTGTTAACATCAGAGGCAGCCACTGAATATCCAAAGTAGGCAGCCATCTGCACAAGAGAGAGAGAGAGAGAAGAAGAGGTAGGAAAGCTGACCTTGAAACCGGGAAGAAGGTCAGCGAGCTTTCTACGGGAGCGTGGGTGGTGATGAAGGACAGAAGTCATCGAGCCACAGACGTAAACAAGATGTTCAGAGAGAGGCAACACCATAAAGGTTGTTGGGTTATTTAGGACGGACAGGAGCAAAAAAAGGAAGTCTGTCATTAGCCCTGCTGATGACAACCTCCTCTTCCCGTCCTTTCAACCCGCTGCCCTCCGCCGCCAGCATCAAGAGTTCAATCAGCGTCAACACGACCCAAAACGACCTGAGGGGTTTTAAGCAAATTGGGTTTCCCCACATTATAGGCGACGGAGGTGCATGAAGTATCAGGCTGTAACAGGAGAATATTAGAAATGTAGAAATAAGCCATAAATCAGTTAATCGCATGATAAATTAAAACCGCCATGATTTATCATTTTTCTTTTCCGTCTCTTTTTCTACTAAAAACCGGAAAAAAACTCTTCAGTGGTGCTTTGGTCTCAACCTTCTTTTGACTCCACAATTCACTGCATTGGTTGTTTTTGTTTTTTCAAATTTAAAATGTTTTCCAGTTCCAGCGTTAAAAGTCCATTACAACTGAAAGTTTATTGATTCTTGGCAGTGCTATCAAATCACTTGAAGATGGTCTCAAAACAACAATATCGCTTGTTTGCGACAACGTCTGGAACAATTTATCACCGTATAAAATTTATTTCTGCGACAGGTTATAAAATCAGCTGCCTGATTGTGAAAAGGAGAAGATTCAGTCAGTCAGTGGAGCAGCAGAGCTTCTCCTCCTCAGCAGCCACGTCACTACATGGCTGCTTTTGCTGACGGTTTACCACAAGCTGAATACAGGTTGAAAGCTGATCTAGATACCACAGAACTATTTTAATTCGAGACCCTTTCTTGCCTCTTGCCTGTGCGGCCATAACTCATTTGCAGTGCAGCTGATTTTAACGCCATTAAACATGTAATTTCATTCATTCAGTCGAACAATTACGCGGCAAATCGAAGCGGCTGTTTCCGTTGCGCCGCATTTAGGTTCAGTCCTGCTGGTTTGCACAGCGGCGCCTCAGTGAGAGGAGACGGTTGTTCGCACTCGTTCTAGATGGCGCCGAGCAGAGCTGCATTATAGGAAATGACACATCAACGCAGTCAGAACTCGCCGCCTGTGCTTTGCGTCATTGAACGAAGCTTACCTGCGAGCCGGTGAAGTTAATCATGGACTCCATGTTGGCCCCATTGAAGATGTTCACCTGAAGCAGCAACGCAGAACATGATGAGAATCACACTGGCTGAATCGAAATCTGATCAATTAGTCTGCTGATTGAACCTTTTTAAAATGACAGTTACATATAATGTAACATATAGTTAAGTGGGTCTAAAGCTGCAGTTTTTGGCTTTTGTTAAAACATGTTTGTTTTTTTTACACATTTGTTATGAGATAGATAATCTGTGAAAAGATCAATCTCCTCCATCTCTTCCCTGAAGAAGTGCACCAAAAACAACCAATCAGAGTCAGGAGGTTGGTCTTAGCACTATTAATCATCCTCATGTACTCGTCGCCAAATGTGCTAAAAGCAGAGAAACAACTTTAAGGAAAACTGTTCAGCCGCCGACATCTGAGGCAACTGCAGCTTTAAGAGCAATTTAAGAGCATGATAAAAAAAACAACAACAACCAACTTCTCGTTTATTTCAAGAAGACGAGACACATTCTACAAGCGGAAATAGAGACAGAAACTGGGAAATGGTTCAGTCAAGTTCCTTAAAAGACTGATGAGACCCACAGTCAGCTGTTATTTCCATAATATGCGAATGTGACACATTGATTAGCAGAGGTGCACAGAGAAATCGGCACAGACTGTGCAGTTAGCACAACTAGATTAACATAGAATCACCAAAAGAATCTGAAGTCAGTTTCAAATGTCAGCTTTCCAAACATTTCATCTTTGATTGAAAAAAAATTGTGAAACCCTGCAAAGTTGTGCATTACCGACTGCTCTCTCTCACCGTCACAGAATGCATAGGACTCAAAACGTTTGCCTGACAGAAAAATAACCGACTTTAATTAGTTCTGCCAAGACAAATTTAAGACCCGTGAGTAAAAATATTTTTTAAATGAATTTAAGACATTTCAAGGCCTTCATTTTAGATGCAGAAATTTAAGACTTAAAAAAAGGCACAGACACTAATAATAATTCATTTAAGAATATGTTTTACATTCTTATATGAATTAGGCACTGCATAGCATGAGATGTATTACTATAAAACATAACACATGTCAGATGTGCAAAAAAAAGAATTTAGAGGCATTTGTGGACTGAGCGCAATGTAGCATAAAAACAACTAAATCAATATGCAATTTATCTAGAATGTAGGAAAAAAAACGTCTCACATCACAGACGAGCGACAGAAGCTTAAGTGCAACAAGTTTGGCCTGTGACACTTACATAACCCAGTGCCTTGTCCCCCCTCGGTACTCCAGTCACTGATAATGAGAACTATTATTATTTCCATTTTTTGCATAGACTCTCTATACTATTTTAAGTATTTGTTATTTTGTTTGCTTATTTTGGGTGCTTAAAATGTTTTCTGGCTCAAGAAATTGAAGTTTGTTTTTTGTAATCTTTAAAAAAAAAAAAAAAAAACTCGCATTATTAAGCCTTTATTGTAAAATCAGTTAAAAATAGTCTCAAAATGACAATATCAATTATCGCAATAATTTCTGGGACAATTTATTGTCCAGCAAAATATATTCTTGTGACAGACATATATGTGTGTTTTTTTAATACAATATTACCACATGTAAATGTCTTTATGACAACAATAATTGTGATAAATCTACATTTTCATCACTCCTGTGCTTTGTGTGACACGGTTATTTGTATGTGGGCAGCATTTGGGGATCTACTGCAGTGAGTATCCATCCAAAGGCTGATATCTTGCTGGTGAGCAACTTCAGACACATCAAACAAAACTCATATCACATTCTAGTCTGTTGTGATATTAACATTTCACCCACTGACACTGCAGTGAGGATAAATTCAGAATATAACATATGGTGCTAGTAAAAATGTTTTGGCAGTGTTGTCAATTGTTTTTCTCTGTTTATATATCAAAATGTTTCCATAAATATGCAGCAGTGAGATGAAGTTGTTGCTTTCCTGTCCCTTTGTACATTTTTGCTTTGAATTTTACATCTTAAGCAAAGTCCAGTAAAACCACAAACTGATTTTACCCTGAGCATCACAAAGAGACCCTGAACCGACATTCTAGATCGAATTGACTTCCATTTCAAACAATTGGCAAACTTATCCCAGTTTCAGCTCTTCATGTCTTTTTGTAAACATTCAAAAACAGTCCTCAGGTCATTGAGTTTTATGAGGGGGGGGAGGAGAAACCTAAATAAACAGATGCATCCTCAAAAAAAGCGTTGGTAGTGTTGGAATCAGTGGACATACCTTCCTTCCCATCCTCGTTGAAATCCCCGACTGTCACAGAGTATCCTGTTGGACAGAGACGTGAAATCACTCAGGAAAGATTCAGATCCTGTGATCTTCTAGGCTTCAAGTCGCAACGTTTATGTCAATGTGGCAGAAATGACAAAAGAAATCACTTCAAAAACCTTCGGTAAATACCTCAAAGGATTCAGCCACCATTTTTTTGGACTTGGGAGAAGTCAAGCTTCCCTACATCAAGCTTGCTAATGCACATATTTAAGGATCTTGTCTTTGTTCTGGTACAAGCGTTCATGTTGAAACAGGAAGCGGCTGAGTCCCAAACTGCTCCCACAAAGATGGAGGCAGGAAATGGTTCATAAAGTGCTGTACATTTAGTAGTTCCTTCCACTGGAACCAAGAAGCTGAATCCTGAGACCTTCTACCAAACTATACACTTCATAGACACGGAAAGCAAGTGTTGTTACCCTGCAAACGATCAAACCCTGACATGTCTGCTGGATTGATCGATTATTGCGATGATTAATCAATTAATCGGATGGAAAAACTCGACAGGTTCAGCAGATTTTTCATAAAACCATTTGAGTCTTTCTTTTACGCAATATTAGAAATGCATTAAATAATGCATTAAATAAACAAATAATTTGGGTTTTAGATAAGAAGTTAAACATTTTACTACCTAAAATGCAATAACACAACATTCCTTTAGCTTAAGTTTCATCTTTTGTAGCGGACCTTTGGCTACAAAAATCACTTCCAACATCAGCATGTGAAAATCTTGACTTACCTAGATTTAACATCAGTACAATGCAGAACTGATCTGTTCATTATTTTTTAGACTAAACGATTAAGAGCTATGAACAACAAAGGTGCCAAATAGGAGATTGATTTTACAGAATTTGAACCGGAAGCTAAAAACCTGAAAACAAAAATCATTTACGGATTTTTTTTTATTAAGGTAAAATGTAGATATATATTTGTACAGTTTTGGCTTAATTACTGCTCTCAGCAAATGGTTGAAACGGTTAATTGATCACTAAATTAGCTGACGATTAACCAAATCATTGATTCATTGCAATGAGTCCGATTTCAGACCTAATGGCTTGCTTTAGAGCACTGCATCCGGAACCTTGCGTTGCACGTGGTGATGCAAGACTTGGATTCAACCGCATCGCCATGGAAACTCACTCTATATGCAGCCGTCTTTGAGCCAATCTCAACTCCTCTGTGAAATACCTGCTTGATTTTAAACACCTGCGGCCAGAGCAGTGATTGGAACACCTGAATTTGATCATTCGGACGGGTGAGCGAAAACCTTTGGCAGCATGGAGCGTCTTAATCAGGGGTGTGTGAGTGTGTGTGAATACCGAGGTAGCTGTCGTCATACTGGGCACCGGCTGATTTGGTGGAAAGTGTGTTTCCGTACGGCGTGATGTAGTCGTTGTTGAAGCGATTTTAATCTCGTCGACGCGGTCTGAAATCAACTGGCCTGAGGAGAGAAGAAGAGAATCGAGGAACAAATCGAGACTCAGGATCCCGCAATCTGAAAAGTGCAAAACTGGAATAAAAAATCTAGAACATAAAATTAGGAAGGAGAAATATACAGAGAGAGAAATAAGAGAGAAACAAGTGAACTTAATAGTTTCTTTTTTCTTCATTTCAAAGAAAACTTTGGGTGTAGAAAACCCCCTGACGTTATTAAAGCTGCCACAGGGACATGATGCTAACAGCCGTCTAATAAGAAACAGAGCTCTGTCTGTGTGTGTGTGTGTCTGTGTGCACTTGTGTGTGTGTGGTTGTGTGGGTGTTGACTCAACAGGAAACAATAATTAGGAGAACAGAGCCAAGGAGGAGCCGCTCCACGCAGCCAGAAAACATGTATGCTCCTGAGTCAGCGTTCAGGATGCAGCCGCCGTCACGCCCTCTGAGTTCAGACGGGCTAACGGGGATTACAACCATCCACCGCCGTGGACACATCTTCTGCTGGTCGGCCCACCTGAACCTCACCTCCTCGTTAAACTCTTAAGGCAGTGATGACGCAAGCTGCCGTCCGGTGCAAGGCGAGGCACAGAGTCAGATTTATACCCGGCTGCTCACATTCAGAACAGCTTCTTCGGTTCAACACTGAGCGCGTGTCAAATGTTGGAAAAGAGTTCTATTTCATCCCTACTGACCGCCAGAGGGCGGTGCTGAAAGCACTGAATGTTCCCTTCGCGCATGCGCCGTTCGTAATAATGCCAAAAGAGTCACACCTGTGACATATCGGATGATCAATCAGAGGCTATATAGCATGACGTCATCCGATGCTCTGTTCCTCTTTTCTTCTCGCGTGCGGTTCGCTTTGCATGGCATCGGCCTTTTGGATCTTTTTGCCGTCGTTGGAAGCCCGATTGCCTGTTGGCCGGAGTAGCGGTGTGTCGCCCTCCTAGGGCTGCGACGGATCTTCGATTTTACTGTTTGTTGGAGCTACGCTAACGGTGTTAGCCTTTTCTCAGTTTGCCGTTTGGCTTTAATTGGTGACGGTTGCGTCTCGCCCCTCTCCCAATTTTAGCCGAACCTTTCGGCCGGTTTGTTTTTTGCTTTGATTGGTGACGGGTGCCCTTTTTTGCCCCCTCTCCGAGTTTTTGGATTTGGTCCGCGGCGGCGTTCACGCCCCCTCGCCCATTCTTGGTCTGTGTTATTAAAACATCTCTCTGTGACTGGTGACGGTAGCGTCTCGCTCCCTCTCCCAGTTTCAGCCGATCTTGTGTTTGTAGTTTTGTGTGGGATTCACCTGACTTCGTTTGCTGCTTTGATTGGTGACGGCTGCGTTTTCGCCCCCTCTCCCGATCTTAGCAAGCCTCCTGTTCTGGATTGGGCTGCGTGTTGCCCCTCCGGGTTTGGTTGGTGACGGCTGCGTTTTCGCCCCCTCTCCCGATTTGATTTTTCCTTGCCCTTTGTTCTGGGCATAGCTGACGGTGTCAGCTCCTTTGTTGCTTTTCTTGTGATTGGTGACGGTTGCGTTCTCCGCCCCCTCTCCCAATCGTGGTCGGTTTCTGTCTGCCTGTGGTGGGACAGCGGCGCTATGGATAGCTCCCACTGTTGTGCGGATTGCGGGGCTGTGCTTCAGGCGGATGATGGGCACGACCGGTGCCCTGCCTGCCTCGGGCATGATCACCTGGCTGAGGCCCTGTCGGGCGATCCCTGCATGAACTGCAGCTACATGCCCCATGCTGTGAGGGTTGCTCGTCTGGCCCAGTTACGCCCAGAGCGTGACGGTGACCTTCCACCTTCTGGGCAGGTTGCCACGGCTAGGCGCTCTAAGCGCAGGACCGAGGCTGCAGCCTCCGTAGCTCCTCCTAAGAAGAGGCGAGCTAAGTCTGACCAGGGTCTTTCCACGATGGTTGAGCGTTTGTCTGCGGAATTGGCAGAGATGAAGTCCCTTCTTCAGGCACCTCAGAAGGTGGATGTTTCCATGGATGGGTTCTCTTCCCCGCCTATGCCGGAGTTGGCCGTGGAGGAGGATGTACTGTCTTTGGCTGCCTCTGCCTCTCACTTTCGGCATGAGGAGGAAGAAGCACAGTCATCCCGCGCTTCGGAGACCGGCTCACGCTCTTCGTCTCAGAGTGCGGCTAGTGGCTCTGGTGGCAGTTCCATGCAGGACGTCATGCGTATGGCCTTGGGGCAGTTGCAGCTGGATGTCCCGCAGATGACGGAGTCCGCTCCTGGCAGTGCTTTTTTCAGGCGCGGACGTGCCCCTACCCCCTTTTCTGTCCCTCCATCGGAGGAGTACCTCAGGGAGTTGCATGCTTGTTGGCGGGACCCTAGGGCCTTTTCACGTCTCTCCGCCGATGGTCGGGTGTTGGCAGCTATGCACGAGTCGGTTACGGCAGGCTTGGATCGCATGCCGGCAGTCGAACCTGCTGTTGCCTCGCTCATCGTGTCCCCTGACGAGGCCCTGCGTGATGATGTTCGGTGCCCGCGGGCTCAATGTCGTATTACGGATGGCTTCCTCTGTAAAGCATATAATGCCGGAGCGCGTGCTGGCCGCCTTGGCAATTCCTTGGCGCACCTCATGTTTGCCCTTTCTGGGTCCCTTCAGGATGCCAGTGGGGCTGATGCAGCTGTTGGCTTTAGCGATGCAGCGCTTCAGGCCTTTGCGTTGATGACCAGGGAGCTTGGGCGTGTGATGTCTTTTCTAGTCCAGGCTCGTCGACAGGTCTGGCTGGCTCAGTCCACGTTGACTGAACCATGCCGTAGGACCCTCCGTGATGTTCCTGTGGTGCCAGGGGAGTTATTCGGTTCTGCTGCCTTGGATGCACTGCAACGTTCTGTTCAGGCGCGGCAGACTAGGCAGCAGCTTTCAGGCCTCAGCAGGGGGATGCCCCCTCCTCCTCATGGTCCGAGGCGCCCGTCGGCTGGCCCCAGCATTCGGCCGCCGCCTCAGGGGTGTGATCGGCCTGGTGGATTTCGGCCTCATGCGGTGCAGCAGAGGTCCAGGAGGGATTTTCGTGGGCCGGTCCGTCAACCAGCCAGGCACTCCCGGGCCGCAGACTTTGGCCGCCCCACCCACAGAGCCCCTAGGGGCCTTGGGGAGAGAAAGTGACTCCACCGGGCCGGCCGTCGGACGTTTTTCTCATCGGCAGCTCAGTTACTGGGCTGCTCTTGCTGTGGATCCGTGGGTGGTTGCCACTCTGACCCATGGATACCGGCTACAGTTCCGACGGCGGCCTCACATCTCACGCCGGGTCAGGGAGACCGTCATCACCGACCCGGTGAAAGCTCAGGCCTTGGACCAGGAGCTTTCCGCCCTCCTGGCCAAGGGTGCACTCGAGGCGGTGGATCCTCTGCGGCAACCCAGAGGCTACTATTCGACCTACTTCCTCGTGCCGAAAAAGACTGGTGGATTTCGTCCCATTTGGACCTCAGGGGTCTCAATCAGTGTTTAAAGGTCCTGCCGTTCCACATGCTCACGACGGCAGAGGTTCTTCGCGCCGTGACGAAGGGGGACTGGTTTACCTCAATCGACCTTACGGACGCCTACTTTCATGTACCTGTTGCGGCAGATCATCGTCGTTTTCTGAGGTTTGCCTATCGGGGTCGCCACTGGCAGTTCCGTGTGCTCCCGTTCGGCCTCTCCCTTTCCCCGAGGGTGTTCACTCGATGCGTGAAGGCAGCCCTCTCTCCTCTGCAGGCCCGTGGCATGAAGGTTATGCCATACCTCGACGATTGGCTTCTTTGCGCCCCGTCTCGAGAGCAGGCTTCTCACGATACGAGTCGCCTGCTCGCTCATGTGTCCCGGTTGGGCCTCCGGGTGAACTTGGAGAAGAGCTGTCTGATTCCATCGCAGACAACCACTTTTCTTGGAGTGCGTTTGGATTCTCCCTCCATGATGGCCTACCCGTCTGTCCAGAGGGTGGACAACATTCTCCAGCTGGTGAGTCGATTCAGGCTGGGCAGGGCCCTTCCTTACGTTGCCTTCTTGCAGCTGCTGGGCAAACTGACATCGGTTACTCGGGTTGTGCCCTTGGGTCTGCTCTCGCTGCGCCCTTTGCAGAGGTGGGTCAACAGCTGGAACCTGGATCCCAGGCTTCACAGGCACCGCAGGCTCGTGGTGACATGGCTGTGTCTTCGCGCCCTGAGTCCATGGCGAGACAGGACCTATTTGTCCAGGGGTGTGTCCATGGGTATGATGATTGTGTGTCGCAGAGAGGTGGTCACGACAGATGCCAGCTCTGTGGGATGGGGCGCTGTGTGGCAACACCAGGCGGTTCGGGGCCGCTGGTGTCCGCGGGATCGCTCCAGGCATATAAATGTGTTGGAGCTGCGTGCTGTACATTTGGCTCTTTTTTTGCCCCGCTGGAGGGGAGACATGTCCTGGTTCGGTCGGACAACACCTCTGTTGTCTACCACATCAACCACCAAGGTGGCACCAGGTCAGCGCAGCTTCTGAAGGAGTCCCAGGATCTCCTGGTATGGGCATCGGTTCACCTGTCCACCCTGCAGGCGGTGTACTTACCGGGGTTGTGCAATCAGGTAGCAGACTCCCTTTCCCGACAGGCGCCGGCTCCGGGAGAGTGGTCCCTCCACAGCGACGTGGTCCGCCTGGTCTGGGGCCTTTTCGGTCAGGCGGAGGTCGATCTGTTCGCCACAGAGGCCTCGACTCATTGCCCTCTGTGGTTTTCCCTTACAGGGGCCGCCGGTGCCCTGGGCCAGGATGCCTTGGCCCATCCTTGGCCCAGGGTCCTCCTATATGCCTTCCCACCCCTTTCCCTGATTTGGCCGACTCTTCGGAGGGTGCTCGAGGAGGGCCACAGGATGTTGCTGGTAGCTCCGTGTTGGCCGGCACGACCGTGGTTCCCACTTCTACGGAGTCTGTGTCACGGTGTCCCGTGGTGTCTCCCGCCCAGGAGGGATTTACTGTCTCAGTTGGGGGGTCAGATATGGCATCCCAATCCTCACCGCCTCCGGCTGTGGGTGTGGCCACTGGGAGGCTTGAACTGCAGCTGACTGGGTATTCGGCTCCTGTCAGGCACACTATTTTGAGCGAGGGCATCCTCCACTCGTCAGCAATATGACAACAGATGGCGTCTGTTTTCCCGGTGGTGTTTTGCCCGTAATGTTGATCCGGTCACCTGTGCGGTTCCCACTGTTTTGGAGTTTCTTCAGTCCCTTCTTGATGAGGGCCGCTCCCCTTCGACACTTAAGGTCTATGTGGCAGCTATATCGTCTTGTCATGCTGAGATTGATGGCCGTACAGTGGGGAGCCATAATCTTGTTTCTCTTTTTTTGCGTGGTGCTCGTAGGCTGCGCCCTCCACTGGCCCCGCGAGCACCAGTTTGGGACCTGTCCTTGGTCCTCAGTGCTCTGTGCCACCCTCCATTTGAGCCTCTGGTTCAGGCGGACCTCAAATGGTTGTCATGTAAAACTGCCTTTTTGTTGGCTATTGTCTCAGCTAAGAGGGTCAGTGAGCTACATGCTCTTTCTGTCAGTCCATCGTGCCTGAGGTGGAGTTCGGATGGCTCTGGTGTCACCTTGTGGCCGAACCCGGCGTTTGCCCCAAAGGTGTTTTCTCCTTTATTGTAACCAGCCGTTGAAATTGGCGCGTTTCCGGCCCATCTCAGGGGACGCTGGTGATGGCCCTGAGTTGCTGTGCCCAGTGAGGGCACTGGAGGCCTATCTTGCAGCCACTGCTGCCTTACGACGTTCAGACCAGCTGTTCTTGTGCTATGGGGGCCCTCGATTGGGTTGTCCTCTGTCTAAACAGCGTCTCTCCCATTGGATTGTGGATGTCATTTGCCACGCCTACGCTGCGGGGCACCATCCCCAGCCAGTCGGCGTGACGGCGCACTCTACCAGGAGCGTTTCCACCTCCTGGGCCGCCTTGAGAGGAGTTCCACTGGAAGCTATATGTGCTGCTGCGTCGTGGGCTTCTCCGAGCACATTCACTAGGTTTTACAACGTGAATGTGGCATCCTCTCATCCTCTGGACCAGGTTCTCTTGCAAGGGTCTTCTGGGCCTTCTCAGTGAGGTGCGTGCTCGGATTCCTTGTGACATCGCTGGTATTCGTCATTCAGTGCTTTCAGCACCGCCCTCTGGCGGTCAGTAGGGATGAAATAGAACGAAAGTTACATATGTAACTACGGTTCTATGAATCCCGGATGACCGCCAGAGCTTCTCTGTCACTCAGAATCCTTGCATTTCGCGAGAAGATTCTGTAGGAACAGAGCATCGGATGACGTCATGCTATATAGCCTCTGATTGATCATCCGATATGTCACAGGTGTGACTCTTTTGGCATTATTACTCGAACGGCGCATGCGCGAAGGGAACATTCAGTGCTTTCAGCACCGCCCTCTGGCGGTCATCCGGGATTCATAGAACCGTAGTTACATATGTAACTTTCGTTTCTGACTGAACAAAGCAGCTCAGCTGCAGGAGGACCACTATTTGTCTCAGCCGTAAGACAGGTGGACAAATCTTTACTCTTGCGGAGCTGCTTAAGGAAACAGAGTTTGGTCGTCCCGTCTATCAGCTCTCTGTTAGACGGGACCTCCCATATTCAGTTCAAAGGTGACTTTTTTGGGGGAAAATATGGAAGAACCAGACTTTCACTAGCGCCTCCTCTAACATATTTGAGGCACTTTGCTTCAGTTAGACATGACACTATTTATTTAAAGAAAAAAGAAAGAATTCAAACATTAGATGGTTGGGAGCAGCTTAGTGTCATTGAAAGGCAGGAAACAGATGGGAGCAGTAAGGGCTGCCCAGCTCTGTCCAAATATAATACGATCCACCTACCAGCAACTATAAATCATCACATGCAATAATGAAATAAAATGTAGATGGAAAATATAAAACAGATACTATTTATGTTAAAATGCTGTTGTGATGGGTCCATCTTTTGAGTCTGAATGCATTTGTTGTCATCAATTACTGCTTTTTATTTCTTATATGTCTTGGCCAAAACACACTGGAGACTGAGCCTCAGACTTATTCTGGTTATGTCAAGATTTTAGAAGAAATCCTGGAGGTCGGTGTCTGCACCCAGATACCGACCTCCTCCAACTTTCATTTAAAAGCAGCAAAGAAAACCCCCAAAACAAAAACAAAATAATGAATGAATGCAAGTAATTTATCCAGATTTGATAAATTAGAGCTGGATAATTCATCCAGATGTAAACTGAACACTCACCCTGCCAGTAGAAGCTGCCCGGTCCTCCCACCACAACTCTGTTACTTTTCTGAAGCCACAAACAGAAAAAAAAACAAATTCAGTATTACTTTCACTTTTTTTTTAGCTTCATAAACATCAGGACATGTTTACACTCCGGTGATTTGGAAAGAATCAAAGACCTCCCATATTCAAAGGGTAAAATAAAAACAAACATGGATTCTCGAGTGTAAACTATTCGTCCTTTTGACTTTTCAAACAAGAACTAATTTTGACGCTGGCGCTTCTGCTAGCATAACCAAAGATTTTTAACTCCATAAACAGCAGCAAAATCACAAAAATAAAATGGTTGTTTTGGAACCCAAAACCTCAGCCTTCTGAGGCTTTTTTGTTATTTTTGAAAAAAAAAAAATAATAAGATTACATAATCCGAAATGTTCCTCAATGTAATTGAACATGCCATTTCACTTCATCTCTAGCATGGATTTATATCTATTTTATGCATTTATTTCTAATTGTAATGGTTACACCTTGTTTTAATTTCAAAAGTGTTGTTCAAATTGCAGAACTTTGTTCATTTCTATAATAACATTGATAGACGTCTTAGTTTGAACACCGTATAATCGATCCAACACAAAATAAAAAGACAAGTCCTTGAAATCCAGACATGCTTACGTAAGAAAATAATTTTAATCATTAAACACTTGCAGCACTGTAACTGGTAGCAGAAATCAAAAGTGGAACTGAGCGACTGTGGCTCAGTCTCCAGCATTAAAGTGCCATGAGTGATGATCTGACTTTACACAAGCTCAGTTCATTTACAGTTTACTGCAGGAATTGGCCTCACAGGTCACATAATAAAAACTGTTTAAAACCAACTCCATAAATATTAAAGGATGATCTGTTTGGGTTTGTGCTGCTTGCCTACCTTAAGAAAGTCTGCACTGAAACCAGCCTGGCAGAAACCCTGTCCTTCTGGAGTGTGGGAACCTGGAAAAAAACAAAAGTCAAACATTGGAAACATCAAAGCCCGAGCTCACATTTATAAAGGCTGAGACCGGAAGTAGTAGTATTTTTAGCTTGAGCTGGAAGATTTGCTGTTACGTTCTGGGAGTGACGTAGTTACTAAGCTCTATGATGACCTCAAATTAAGCATCCAACAACACAATGAATAACATACTGGATCTGCAGGGTGAGTACTCCACCACTGTGTCTCCTTTCTTCAGGTAACACGTCCCCACAGGCTCCCTCTCGCTGAAGCCGAAAGTGGACCACTGGTAGAGGGGAGCGCAGGCCTGAAATGCACCGGACACATTCAGAACATACGACCCAAACTCAGAGCAAACAGTAACTCGCAGAAGGTCCACCGGCTGCAGTTTTCTGGTCGATCGCAGATCGGCAAACATTAAAAAGACCTGCCGATTCAGATTTTGGCTGATGCAAAAATTTTTAAATCTCAGAAGCAGCCAACCAAAGCCGCACTGCCTCGGTAGAACAGTTTGAACAAAGTGAAACCTGGGGATGTAGGTATTATTAATTTAGTGGATTATGCCACAGCAAAGGAAAGAATAACATAGAAAAACCGTCTAAATAGCTCAGAATCACTCATATTTTTTCCCCGGCCCGCTGTGTTGGCTACGCTACACACAGAAATGTTGCCAAAGCAACTGACGCACAACATCTGTCTGAGGACAGAACATTCAATCTGGTGAAGAATTATGTTTTCAGGCTTGATGTGTATTTAACAACTATTAATAAGTGATCATCTCAACACAGCGGTGGTTGATTAGCTAATTTAAACATCTGCTCTACTGTCAGAGTGTGTGTGTTTATCACCTGTTTCTTCTTTTTTTAACTGATCTGAAATGCACCAAATTCCACAGCGCATCTATATCTTAAGATTATCAAAGTCAAGCTAGCCAAGTTAGCATACCTGGCTTACTTTCCTCTTCCTCAATATGTTTTTTTGTGTGTGTGTGTTTTTTTTTAATTAAAACCTTTCTTGACCGGTGAAATGTGGCACAAAGGGACTTTGCTACCTCGTTGTCATAGTATTGACAATTACTAGCAAAGCAGCGCTTTCATTGATACATCACGCATATTGTCAAATTGACAACAGTGGGGCGACTATTGTTAACCATGTATGTGAAGACGTAACCAGGTAGACGGGTCTATTGCAGAGAAAAAGGGATCAGCGGCTGATTTTCTGACCTTTACGGAGGTTCCACAAGTAACTATTGGCTAGTTGCCTGTCTCCCAAAATTAAGGAAATCTGGAATGATTTATTAGTGCACTAGGCGGGATAATAACGACGGAAAATGTTAAAATAGAAGAAACAACATAATATTATTGGCTTTGTCAAACATACCCTATTTCCTTTATTTGAGGACAAATGCTGAATTCTGAGCTACTATATGAAATGGATTTAGGTTTCAAGTTCTCTTTTTCTCTGCATGACTCCAAGTAAACTGAAGACACCCCAGACCAGTTTTTCTTTTAAACCAAGAACTGTTTGTTTTGACTTACTGTAATATTCAAAAATCCTTCCAGGTGGAAAAAGGACTCCCAGTGATTTGGGAGTTTTGGTGTCACTGCAGCATAAAGCAATGGGAAGATGAGGTGAATGTGTTTAATCTATAGCTGAGGTAGTCTTATGTGTTTACCGTTTCATTTACAGTCCAATGTGTTGCCCAGGTGTGCGCCACAGGGTTTATATTCACTCACCTCCTACACATTGTACGTCTTTATGGAAAAGCGCTTCTGCATATTCTTACGGCTGCACAACCCTGCCCTTTGTTTTGTTCAAGTTTGACATTTTTGGCCCAGCGCCCAATCCAGAGGATTTCTAGAGAGAATGTGCATCTGTTCTAGAAATCTTGCACTCATTGCACCTGCATTAATGTTCCTCACATTTTCATCCTCCACAGTCCAACGTAAACGACTGAATGCAAGGCAACACTGCTGTGAACATCTCCAGTTTGAGCAGTCTGTGCTCCACAGTCGCTACGTTTCCATTGGCCATATAATTCAGCAATCTGACATTTTGAAAATTAATTTGCTTCATGGAAAACCCCCTCCCCACCATTTTCATAAAACACTTGTTTTTAATAAGAGGTTTTAGCGCAAGGATGAAGTGGGGCTTTTAGACAAAATTGGTTTATTTTGCAAAACTGCAATGGAAACACTTGTTTCGCATCACACGATCAACAACCTGACGTTGCCGCTGGCAAAAAAGCCACAAATAAACTGCAAACAAACTTTTTCACTTGCAATTTAAATTGAACTTTGTATTTAATGGAAGCAGAGTGACTGCAATATTGTTTGATTTTTGACAAAGGTTTTGGAGCATTTGTTATAAGAACACACCCAGTGAGAACTGAACACAAACGTGTGTGTTTAAGGTCTTACCAGGATGTGTTCTCCGTCAGATCGCACTGAGGCACCAAACCACTGCTTGGACTTAAACTCGATCTGATTCCCATCTTTAAATCGGTTATCTGTGGAAAAAACACAAAAGATGATTGTTAAACTAGATGACAGAAAATAATGTTCTTTCACAGAAGCAACTCGTAAGAGGTATCCAACTGTAGTCTAAGGATGAGCAGTCTGTGCTAATCCTAATTTCCCCCATCAGTGAATGCACCATAACCAAGAACTAATGTGTCAGTTTTTACTGGACAAAGAAGATTCAAAGTCAATCATTTTCTGTGTCAGCAAGTTGGAAAAAGGAAACGAAAAGGAAAACAAATGTCCTGAAAGGACGTCTTAGTTGTTCATTCAGAAGACTCATGAGACTCAGACAGGAAAAATATGAACATAGACATGCAGCAAAGGTCAGGAGGTCACGACCCACACAGCTGGATTGAGGACTAACAGTCTCTGGGGCACCATAGCGACGCGTGCTGCCTCGGCCTTCTGCTTCCAAACATTGAGATTTCAAGAAATGCCAGGAAGGAATGATTTATTCCAGCAAGGCTGCACTGTAGTAAAAAACAGGATGAGTCTAGTAAAAATAAATACTGGATTGTCAAAAGGTGGTATTGGAAATGGACTTTGATTAGTGAATCTCCAGTGAAATTTAAGGGTAAAACTGTGGGCACCAGGGACATAAAAAGGGAAAAGTGCGTCACTTGTAAAAATGATTTTTCTTACATATTTGTTGTCATGTCATGACAGCATAGAATGAGAAAAAGCAAAATCTCATCAGACGGCAACAGCAGCTCCTGTGAAAGGAGTCGATCCTTTCACACATTATCCGTCACATAACACACTGTCACACTGTTATTATAGAGATGCTGGTGGCATGTTAAAAATATCTACTTTTATAAAAGTTACAATACTGCAGCTTTAAGGAAACAAGTCAAGAATCGGAAAAGTACTGGAACGCGTATTAGGCAAGATTTGACACAGACACTTTGTACGTACGAACAGAGCACTGATAATGGAGGCGACAGCGGCTGGTTCCGTCCAGCTCTCTGCCCACAGACAGAGGAGTAAAGCCGTGCTGAGTTCAGAGACCACAGCACGAAAACACCACTTAGCTTTGAGTTGGATAAATAAAGAGATAAATCACAGACAAATCTGACACAAAGGAAACAGATGAGTAGATGAAGGAAGCAGACAAGACACAAAGTGAGAAAATGTTTAAGATTTTCCAGGCTGATTAAATAAAACCTAAAAACATTTGTGTGGAAAGTAGATTTTTAAAAATCCTTTGATTCTCAGAACCGTGTTACTAGAAAAGTATAAGCTGAATCCCATTTAAGCCAATCAGACACTGTGGGTTTATTGTTGAACAGGGTTTGTTTACCCCAGTTTGGCAACGCGGTACATGCTGAACCCATAATCTCTCCGTATGTTAATGAATCATTCATCAATGGTGCAAAGTGTTTGCCGTCAACTATTTACCATGTCAGAAGGCCTGTTGCCATGACAACAGACTGTTTTTGTTGTCAATTTGAGCGCTTACCTCCTAAAACCAATGGGTGGACAGAAACCACTTGAGAAAGAGGAACACGACTCTACAAACATAATACCACACTAGCAACACTAGCGCTAATGCTGCAACCGAAATCCTCCTTCACCTATTGAATCTTAATAATTATAGAGATGGTTGATGATTTCAAGAACAATCAACATGATTACAGTTCAGTCTCAGGAAAGAACATGTCTCCCTTCATTCATGAGAATATGACAACATTTTAAAAAAGGAAATAGTTGCAATGTTCTAAGCATATGCATGCAATGTGGGTGATTGCCATGAAGTTTTAAATGTTTTAAATTTCATTTGTGAAACACTTAAATTTCTATTTAACCAAAAAAGAACCAGAGTGTTTCAAAATGTTCATTTAGAGAAATTACCTAATAAATTACCCAGCAGTGGTCTAAACCAATGTAGTCCACGCCACAAGCTTTCTTTTTACAGTTTTTGTTGGTGTGGTTTCAGGGGCCGACGGACTGATGGGACAACTCTTTTCTTCGACAGTGACATCTGCCGCGCTCCTCCTGAGCGTCACGTTAGGAGCTTTTGGTTTGTTTAGTTAGTTTTTCCACATTATTTGAAGCTTGTTTAGTTAAAATGTGTTGCATGACATGTTGCAGTAGAAGGACATGCTGTAGAAAAATCATGTATTTAACAGTCATTTCAAAGTAAATATCTTCCTCATTAAATTGTTAGTTTACAAAATTAAAATGTTTATGTTTTAAACAACTGCTGCTATGCGTTAATGGATGTATAATTTTGGCACTCATCTCACTGCACAGACAAGATGGCATAATTGCAGAGTAGGAAACCTTACAGATTTACATCGGACATATTTACATCTGTTTGTTTCAGCGGAGCAGCTGGAAATCAGACAACTGACATCTCAAAGAGCATTTAACAGAAACAGCAGGAACAAAAGACTGTGGTGAAACGTTGTGAGTTGGTCAAAATGAAAACGAGTCAGAAATGAGTCAGAGTCATACCACACAAACACACACACACACACACACACACACACGACTTCCAGTTAATTCTGCCATTCCAGTGAAGCTTTGGTCAGCAATCATGCAGGTCAAATCAAAAACAAAGACCTCCTTTGTAAGAAAACACACACACGGACGCACACGCACGCAAACGCATGCACACGCAAACAATCCAACTAGGCCACTCAGTAACTGCGTCTGTTACCCTACAGCCTCTCAGTGTCAGTTTTTCTTAAAGGCGCTGGAGCAGTGCAGATATTTGCTAAATCCATCTTTCTGCAATATTACGGCTGCAGTCTGAATGCAGCGAGAACATATCCTGTACGAGCAGCCTCCTACAACTTGCACTTAATAAGGCCATGTAAGACGAATTTACCTTTTATGGGCATAGCATGCCTGGAACTGAGCGCCGCATGAGGCCAAATGCTCCACAGGTGTTCCAACAAGTCTTTCAAAAGCCAAAAAGCCTAAGCCACTGACACTGTGGCTACCGAGGAGAACACTGGATGTTTACTGTGTAGGGAAATTTAAGGTTACGCCGATTTAAAAGAGCCACACAGTTCCCCGCAACAACCAAAAGTCAATAGTTGCCTAATTTCATTGACGGTTGTTGACATTGCCAACTTCAAAGTAATCTTACGAAGAAAATCAAAGAAAAGTGGCATCAAACCTTACAGACGTTATAAGAATAGCCAATATTAATCTCCGACTTGCAGCTTTCAAACTCCAGTTCAGATGTGGACATTTGCTACTGATCCAGTTTTTAGGGTAAAAAAAACAAAACACACAGGAGTTGAACTCCCACAGGTTCTACACTGCACATGTGTTTTCCAGATAGAGGGGAGCAAAGTCAAAAGTCATTACGTCCTTCATCAAACAATTCCCAAAAAACCTTGAAAACCTTTTTGTGAATTTCTGGCCCGCATTAACATCATTGCGGGTGTTAATGCGGAGTTCACCCATATTTAGGGAAGCGAAGAGGGGTGTCCCGTCTCACCGTCAGTTCACGAAACCACAGACAAAAAAAAAACTAAATTGAAAGTGCACTCTGGGGTCAATGATTTCTACTTCTGTCATTTTCAATCAACATATACACTCAATATCAATTATATGCAGCTATTTCTAGTCTTATTTTACCTGTTTGCGCTGCTGCAATGCTTTATTTTCAAAAGGAGCAGCATATTTTAAAACGTCTCCAGCATTTTATTGTGAAATCATCAATGAAGCCTAAGGTCAAACGAACATCAAGTGTTTACTTTGTTTGTCTATGTTGCTCTGAAATGACACAGTCATAACTTGGCACACAAGTTATTCCAAGCATGTAGGATATCCAGGCTGTAGTGTCTATTTAGTGGATATAAAGAGCGGTGCGGGCTCCACTGCTTTAGAGTGTGGTGTGTTTGTTGCAGCCAACTTCAGTTTGCTGAGGTCTGCCACAGAATACCAACCAGACTCGACTACACACACACACTCACACACACACACAATAGCTCCCCGTCCCACAAACACACTGCCGTCCCACTTGGCCTGAACTGCTCTGTGTTCCAGCGGCTCCAAAAGCTTCTCTCTGTTTATCAGAGCTTTCCAGTGTTTTCTCTGCTTTTAGAGCTGACCTGATTTCAAGAAACTGCTGAGTGTCAGACATGAGCTCTCATTCCGACGCAGCACGCTAAGCAGGCGGGAACTGGTTGGACTTTTTTACATGAGCCTGTATGCAATCCAGCCCAACACGTTTTGAAAAGTAGCGGGCTGGTACAACGTTGACGTGATTAGCGAGCGTGAGCGACGATGCCACAATTCAGCTAAAATGACGTTTGTGCGCTTCAGAGTGTTTACCCAGCTGCTGCTCTACCAGCAGGGAAGGAATGGGAACAGATGTAAGCCACAACATAATAGAAATGCCTCCGGATGTCAGGCGGAGAAACATCAATGTTGTAATTGGAAAAGTCGGCGCACCTGACGGTGATTGCGCCACCAGTTGCTCCGAGGCAACGTTTTAGGTTCTGCAAGATGGAGCTCGTTTGTCTTTTTTCCTCTGCCTTCTGGGTTACTGGAAATGTGTACCTTGGTTTTCTAAAAAAAAAGCTTCAAAATTTTTCTTAGTACTCGTCGTGTTTGTCTCCTGGAGGAAAACAAAGTGAGTCATATGCAGATCAGGACCGATGATTGAGACTGCGCATTACAGCTGTTACAGAGTCCTACAGCAATTAGGAAATATACTAGGCTTGTGTATTTCCTCTAGGGTTAAAATGTGTTTGGAAATCATACTTGTAAGAGTCTGTGATAGTCAGAGTTGGACCTTAAGAGTGAGGCGATGCTGCCACGCCCCAAGGCTTGGTGATAAACCAGTAATAATAAACCAACCAAAAAAAACTGGCTTCCTGCACACTCAGTGCATGAGGCACTCAGTTCTGGTAACTGTGTGGGACTTTATCTGACTGCTATTAATTTGCCACATCACATAACAGTAATATCGCTCATTTCTGACTGAAGCAGAAAGGAAATGAGCTTCTGGAAGATAACAGAAGAGGAAGGATATCTCACAGAGGAGATAACTTTCAACAGATCAAGGTTAAAAATGTGTTTTCTTATTTGCATCCAAACCTTCTATCTGCTTTTGCAGAGATGGCAAAGTGAGGATGAAGAGCAGCCACTCACAGTTTTAGTGCGACTTCTTTTGCAGTTCAATAATGATACAAATCTGACCCAATGTTTCAGTTTTACTCATGGCAAAATTATTAACAAAAGTAAAACCTTTTTACAATAGAAAACTTGTAATTTACACAAAGCATTTATCTGTCGCATTAAGCAATAAATCCATTAATCGCATGGTGAATTAAAACAAGCTGAACAGATTTATAGTTTTTCTTTCAATCCAAAAAACGAATGAAAAAGATTTCAGTCATTGGACTCAAATAGCATTTATGGAGGACAAGTTTGTTTACACAGACTTCATAATTCACTTTACTTGCGGTTATTTATTTTGGACATTTAAAATGTTTTTCCAGTTCTGCTGTCAAATGTTCATTAAAATCTAAAGTTGGTTGTTCTTTGAGGATGTGCTCTTGCATTATTAAGCCATTAACATTATATTACTAGAAAATAGTCTCAAAAACAATAATATGTTCATTCCGATAACTTTTTGGACAATTTATCGTCCAGCAGAATTTGTTATTGTGACTGGCTTATTGCTAATAATGTGTGTGTTTTTTTTTTATGCAAATAGAACCATATCCATGCAGCGAATTTTACTCAGAAGCAGATTTTAGTTCACCCAGCTCTGGTTCACATTTATTTATTAAACTTAGCTGAATACAACGAGCGTTTTCAAAGAAGCATTACCCAAACCCTGCTCTTAATGCTGAAAATGGACTCAATGTTTTCTATGCAAGATAACTGTAAGACAATTGACCTTATAAAAATGAGCAAACTAAATATCTTTTAATACCTCAAATTTAAGGACAACATGCAATATGTTTTTTTGTGTGTCTAGAGTGATTCACATGTTTAATGAAAAAACACTTCCCTAATTTGTTTAATCAAAATGTAGTTTATTACTCAGCAATAAAAAAATAATAATTTTGACAATTATAACCACCTTAAAATAGTCAATGTTTATGATTAGAAAAATTTCAGACCGTTCTCATAATGGAGAATAAAACATTTTTATGTATGAGAATAAAACAATTTTAGTGTTTGAATCACAAAAATTGTTTTAAAATGTAGACAACCTAGTGTCCCCAACTTCGTACCGGCTAGAAGAATATACGACAAAACCTAAGACATTTGATTAGCATATTAAAGGACAACTTGCTTGTTTTCTGATGAATTTAAGGTTTTTTAAGGCCCTAATTTATGACAGATGAATTTCAGACTTTGTAAGGCAGGGAGGTACAGCCTGTTAAAGAAACACTTGCAACTTGGAGAAACTGCGGGAAGAGAACTTGCCTCCACAGATGAGCCTACATTCCTCCTTTAAAATACATTCCTGAATGTGTCCTGACATGAGGCAACAGCAGCATATTAAGCTCAACCCTCATTAACCTATTGATGACACTGTAAAACACAACCTCATCCGTTTGGGGCGACAGCAGGCCTTTGTTCACCGCAGCTTGCTTTAATCGCAGCAGATTTATTTTCAGAAAGCAATCCGGTGGGTCGCAATGACCTAACCTAACGGGTAAGACGGCGTTTGTCTCCAGGCCACCGGGGTCATTCTGTTTGTGACAAATTTAGACAGTTTTCACAGTTAGCCATGAGTCAGGAAGTGCAGCATGAAGCAGACTTCTGAAGAAACCCATTGTGGTTTACCCTGTCATCTCCTGCAGCTGTGCCTGACTAAAACCGAAATGCTAACGCCGACACAGTGGAGGTGGGTGACATGGACTTAAAGTATTAAATATTACTTTTTTAAATTTTTAATTTAGGGGTAACGGTTTTTATTTAGAGTAACGATATGAGTCTCTGGTCGAAGCCATAGCTGTGCATTAGGGAGTTTGCTCCTGGTTACCTTTGTCGTCGAACAGCAGCTGCCGGCAGCTGGCGGAGTTCTTCCAGGGACAACTGTACACAGCTCCCCTCTCCACCACGGTGCTGCTGGACGATGTGTTGGCCCGGGGCGCTCCGATGAGAACGTCGGAGCTGAGGAGGAAAAGGAAGGCGGTCAAGTACCAGCAAGATGAGAAGCAAGGATAAAACGAGAGGCATTTCGTTAGTTTCTAAACAAGAATCGGGTCGTGGACGGAAGATGCCCTTTCAGACTGTCGTCATCTCTGCGTTTTCAAATAACATTACGGTCAGTGCTATAATGAACTGGCTTTGATCAAAGTATATTCATTCAATCAAACTTCTGGTAACATCTCTTGTTTGTCAAACTGTTTTAACAAATATCAGCCAGAAAAACCAGTGACAGCTCATTCAGTTTCTACAATAAATAAAGTGAGAGTTATTGTGTTACTCGTTTTCTGAATTTATTGCCCTTCTGCAAATCTTGTAAATACAAGTGCAGCTTGGCGATATAAAGCGAGCGCTTGGCTGCCTGCAGTGATGACCATTTTCATCTGTGTTCAGAACAGCAGGCCTTTGTTCATAGCAGCCTGCTTTAATTGCAGCTGATTTATTTGCAGGAAGCAATCCAGTGTATCGCAACATACAATGAGGGAAAAAAAATCTAACGGGTCAGTCGGTATTTTTGTTTCCAGGCCTCTGATTTATCGGAACATCGATTCTGAATATTAGGATGTCAGCTGACAACATCAGGAAAAAGCAAATCGCTGTCTAGAAGAATTCAGACAGAGTTTAACTTCCCCTGTTAGAGCAGTGGGGATCTTTATAGAAACATGGGAGCATATGGGTGTGTCGTAACACAATGTTGAGATGGAAAGTTGGCAGCAGTAACCTAGCAAATGCAGTCATTGAGACACATCAACATGGAGCGAGAATCATGAAATGAGTTAAAAACTATTTTAAGAGAAAATCTGTCATCAAGTAGAAGGTAGTTTTGCTGGTGTGAACATCCCCAAAGTCAGATTTCCAAAAGAAAGACAACTCAGGGTTTCCCCTGGAATATTACAAGCCTGGCAGGCCACCAGGCTTCACTTGCTCCCATGCAGGCTTGTTTATTTTAAATAGCGTTTTTATACACTTGTGACAGTAAACATGGATTAAGCTAGATTTATGGTTTAACAAATATTGAACACTCCCTTGCCATTGAACACAGCAAGGAGATGCGCCTCTTTGGCCTCACTTTATTATTTTCAAATTATGATGCCTGCATGTACACCTCCACATTTTTGTAATTTCTCTCAGTTACAAAAATGTTACTTGTGGGCTGCCTATAGCATCCCTACCACCAGGCTTGGCAGGTTTCGTGAGGAGGAACCCTTGATAACCCAAACTTTGCATACCTTAGCAACTCGCTGACTTGGGTGTGGAACAATCTCACAAAGGCCGACAGGACTCAAGTAGTGATGTTTGGCCGTAATGAACAACTTTATATTTGAAACAGAGGCAACAACAGTGTAGCAGCACATATACCTTATAGCAGCTGTCAAGCAAAGTGGTAGAGTGGTGATGATTTGGGTGAGTTCAGTTGCGCGTTCACACCTCCCCAAACGAACCGGGCTTTCTTGACAAACAAACCAGAGTTTGACTAAAGCGGCGGAAGAGAGACGTAAGTGTCCAACTGCTGAAGCTTGACCCCAATTTGGGTCATAATGCAGCACGGTGAAGCCAAACACAACAGCAAATTTACAGCAGAGAAAAGGAATAATGGCTAGTGCAATCACCCAGTCAGTCAAAACCTTTGCCTGATCCAGCCCTAAGAAGGATACACGTAAAAAACCTGTGGATCTTAAATAATATCTAGAGTAAAATCAGAGAGAAGAAAGCCAAAATTCATCCCTAAAATAAACTGTTGTATCATTAATTGTAGAAAGGAGTGTGTACAATTCTTTCCGCTTGTCTTTCAAATATTCACTTAAAGCACAACAAGCACATGTCAGAACCAGACTGAATAGCATGACAGGAACTAGCTAAACCTAATTACTCTCTGGTTTTAGTGGAATGGAGGAAGATAAAAAAAAGACATTTATAAGAGCTACTTTGAGACAGAGTGTTCTGTCTCAATGTAGACATTGTGTTACTACCAAAGTGCTGACACAAGTAACGGGTAGTTGTGCGTTATCTCCAAATCGCTCACTCTTCCTGTTTTTTGGCTTTTTACTGAACAAACTCACTCAATATGAAACACACCCAAACACTTTGGCGATCAAGAATTTGGTCAAATTGGCCAAAGAATTTATTACTGATTTATTTGTCTTGAGTAGCAAATGTCTAAGAAAAAGTTTATCAGCAGAATTTTTTTTTTTTTTTTTTGTGGGACTGAGAGGAAGATTGTGTTTGTTGAAGGAATATGTTTGTGATAAAAGTTTGGCTGTGCTTGCATGGGAAAACTCAAATAATTGGCATAACAAAAAACAAAACTGAAGCCTTTAAGACGCTTTGCATGCGTCAAAGGAAGTATTCCACTATCTTGTCAGACAGACATGCTGAAAATAGACACGAGAAAAGAGACATGGAAATGGGAGACAAAAGTCAGAGACGACTCGCACAGTTCAGCCTCACATGGTGGAAACACAATACCTCTGGAAATAAGTAAATATTCCTCTTGGACTGCTTGAATCACAATGTATACAGACTCTTGAAGAAAAAAGAAAAAAAAGTTTGTATGAACCATGAGTTTTTCCACTACGTCTTGTTTCAATCTCAAAGCATTTCATTTACATGTCAGACAAAAACTAGTGCATGATTGTGAAGTGGAAAGCATCTGATTTAGATATGAAAAGATGAAATATGAATCTTAAATCAAAGCTTATAGAGCCACCTTTCACCAGAAAACCTGAACATGTTGTTCAAGGACTTTCCATTGATTGATTGATTGATTGTCTGTTGGGTCATTGTCCTACTGAGAAAAAAAATAAAAAAATCAATCTCCTGCACCTCTTCCCTGAGCTACTATGAACGTCCGAAGAAATTAACCAAAAACAACCAATCAGAGCTAGGAGGCAGGTCTTAGTGCTGTCAATCATCACATGTACAGGTTGGTAAATGTGCTAATGGCGGAGAAAATCATTTGTCTGTCGTCGGTGTTGCGCTAACTAGCATTAGCTGTTTTAGCAGGATATGTTGTGGTGATCCAGCAAGGGGGAGAAGTTCAGGACAAGAATGACTGACAGCGCTAAAACCCTCCTCCTGGATCTGATTGGTTGTTTCTGACTGTGTGGTGGATTTCCTGAATTTGGCAGATCGGTGATTGACCGATGCTTACATGTGAAGCCAATCTTTTCAAAATAAAGCTCATGAAAATAAGCCACTGGCCTCCTCTGATCTCCTCTTAGAGAGGTTTGACTGACAGATCGACTCACCAGGTCATGTCCAGATCATGTCTGCATATCTGCAGTTAACAACAGACAGTCCACTATTGCCAACTCATCATCTTTTTTGCTATATTTAGCTGCATTTCAGACACACACGCACACAAAAAAAAAGGTATCCGCCAAATTCGGAATCGACAGATCAGGTTTTCTAAAGATTGGTGATCAAACAGAAAACTGCTATAGGTGCACCTCTAGTTTAAATTAATAATTTTGCAGCATAAAATGTATTTATTGGCATGTTTGGTGTATAAATGTACTGCGTAGTGAATGGCACCACACTATTTTACACAGTCTTGAATTGATTTTGGTGGATCTTGTGAGGCTTTTTTCCCACTTATTGCAATTCCCTCAAATTTAACATTAAAAATTCTAAGTCAGTGCACCAACTTCAGCAGAGATGACATGTACAGTAAATCATGCTGTTCCAAATAACACGTTTATTGTATAAATTAGCCCCCCCCCCAAAAAGAAAGAAACAAAGGATTGGAAGAAAATTGTAAATAGCTCATACTAAAGAGAGCCTGTTTGTGAAATTATAAGATTTTCACGTATCCGACGCCGTCATTGCATTTTTATCTCAGCTTTACTGTTGGAGTAAATCAGCTTACAGTTAAATTTGATAAAGAAATCAAAAGAAATACCTTTATGTCCAAAAACGAAGCAGATAGACTCCGGACATTCCCAACCGAGAGTGAGACAGCGAGTATTGCACTTTCTGCTGCTCTCTGCCAGCGGAGTTCAATATCAGTGGCCCAGTTCTTTATCGATTCACCCTGATTGGATATCGGCGGCTCAGACAGTGAATGAAACACAACACCTCAAAGTGCTTGCTTTGTAATCAGCTTAAAGTAAGAAACATAACCTACTTTTGGATTAAATAAGATGCAATTTTAATTCCTTTGTTTTCTATTTGATTCACATGTGTGTATTGGCCTGTTGTTTGTCGGATTAAAGGTGCCTCCTGAAAAGAAACAACCTTTAATTCTCATTACACCCAAATTCTGGTTTTAAAGAGGTTTTTTGACACGGTTTTTAATTTGAAATGTCTTTCCCCCCCCCTCCATTTACTATAAATGGGAAATCATCATAACTAACAGAAAACACACTGTTCCAAAATCACACCTGTGCGATTGATCTATATAAATGTGTTTCACATAATAAGTTTGATTGTCAGACAAATCTGGAAAGAAATCGGACATCGCCGGTAAAAAAGCCGATCAGTGCAACTCATCAGGAGAGAAAGTACCACAAAGGAGATGCTGAGGCGTGCAAAAGTTTCGGTTCAGTTGCTACTTGGATGTCTTGAAATGCAACCAGGAAAAGTTTGTTTTCGTCCCCAGAAATACGCTGGGAAAAATATTTGTCCAGACTTTCTATGACTAATGGTGGAAATTGTATGAATAAGCATTAAGAGTTCCATCAGTGAGCATTATGCATTAAAAAAAAGAAACCATCAGACTCACTTTGGTTGGTGGCGGATTTAAAGAAGTCCACCGAGAACCCGAAGTAGCTCCCCTGGGGTCGGTGTAGACGAAGGGTTTGTCCACGTCCAGGTTGAAGGCGACGCCGCGGTGGACGCTCGCGCACAGCAGCGCGAGCAGCCCGACGACAGCTGTCCGAGCCGGCCATGGCCGCTGCGGCTGCCGGAGATCCCCGCGGCTTCACCCGGAAGACGCCGAGCCAGATAGGACGTTACCCCGGTCACCCCTGCCCCAGTCGGTCACCGAGACTCCGCGGGGCGTTACGCCGTCAACAGCGGCACTTTCAGGAGGCTGGGAAATCTCAGCGTTCCCAACGGGAGCAGTTGGAGAACAAGCCTTGTAGAGCGTCAAATGAACCAGGTTCGGCTTCCAGCTGAAGCCGCCGAGCCGCACACAGCGAAGGGAGCGAGGCGTGAGGGTCACAGGGAGCCCGGTTCGGGTCGCCCGGCTTCGGCTTGTTTTTGGTTGATAAAAGAACCTGGACGCCTTAACCGAGCCCCGAACTGAGGCCAAGACCGTCTGAGTACGAGGAATGTGTGGAAGTGTTGTCAGAGCTTGTTCCAACGAGCTAAAGTCAGACAAATTAACGACTAAACCCCCGGCTAACAACATCCGCTTAGTTCATTTCAAAATAAAAGCCGGGAGCACAACCACGTTCAGAGTCCTTTAATGTGGAAGCTTGACACCAGTGGTTTATTTTTTGTGTGTTATGCTGACAGACATTTTAAAATTGGGACTTGGACTTTGTTATTTACGGCCGTCCTAAGGTGCAAACCACTTCAGCAAATAGAAAAATGCACAATTGCAAACTACAAAAGCGTTACAACATTAATGAAAGCGCTTGGAGCCAACATAGTGACTATATTGTGACTGTGTTTCAAAGTTCAAGTGAACTGAAATACATGTTTACCTTGTACTGCCAAGCAGTCAGTACAAGGTACTTTGCATAAGGCAAAGCAAGTGTTTTTTTATATAGCACACTAAACAAATTTAATAAAAACAAATTACACGGTAACAAAAAATCAGACAAAACATCAGACTACAGTGGTATAAAAAAGCAAAGTAATGAAGATTGAAATACAAATTATACAATCAGGTCTATGAATTCATCTCTAAACATGCCTCCCCCCACAAGATGTCACCCTGGGTGGTGATCCATGTCGCCCATGTGAGAAACCGCCACTGTCACTGTTTATTTGTCTCGTAACAAATCTCGTAAAATTGTCATTACATGATGACAATTTTAACAAATTATGTAAAAAAATTAGCAATAAAAAAAATGCTTTAAAAAAATCTAAGTTACATGCTGCAACTTTAAAATAGTTTTTTATTTGCTTTGTTCTGGGGATTTTTTTTCTTTTCTTTTTAGATCAAAAAAGCCAAATTTTGTTGATCAATATGGAGAGCCATGTCAGCCAAAATTAAATGACTTTGTAAATGCAATTTAAAAAAACAAACAAACAAAAAACAAAAACATTTTAGGGGTGGACACTTTTCATGTTCACTGTAAATGAGATACATTCATGAAGTGTGTAAAACAGCATTTTTGCATTAACAACAACACATAAGTTTGTAACTCTTTGTTTAACTCTTTAAATTTTCCCTAACGGAAAACACGCCTTTGAAGTCACAGCGAGGCGTTTGATGGACAACAGGAAGTTCATTCCGGAGCGTCAGACAGAAGAAGCGAACACAAGACAGGCAGCAGAGACAGGGAATGTCTCTGAGGTCCTCTGCTGTCGGGGTCAACTGAAGGTCATCAGATGATGGCGTAGAACCGCACAAAGTGATGACGTACTGTATCTCTTTATATTAACCTTAATCTCCTGGAATATGTGTGTTTATAGTGAAAAACACACAAAAAACCCTCATTCTTTAACATTTCCTCCCCTTCAAGCCAACCGTATTGTGAAAAAGCACATTGATTGGACAGAAAGGAGACGTCATGGACAATTCTTCCCTATTTTTATTACTTTGTGTCAACGAATGAAAAGAAAAGAGCATCTGAAAAGTAAACTGCGTCAAGGTCTTCATATCAGTTCAAGGAGAAATGACTCATTTGAAGGCAGGCACGTCCTAATTCAAGAAAATACAAAGCCTTCTTGGCAACAATTTCCCAGTTTTGAAAGGAAACTCTTTATTTACTTTTGAACACGTTGAATGTCAGGGGAAAGAAAAGAAAACATTTAAGAAGAAGGCAAACAAACAAAAGCGTATGCCCGATAATCAAACAAAAAAGCATAAAAACTTCCATATGCAGTTTGAACCGGAGGACATATTTGTATGCATCATTTTTACACGTCGCAGTATCTGCTCTTTCTGAATTGTATCTGTAAAATGAATTCATTACCATTGTGCAGTCTACACCATGTCTGCCATTTAAGATGTCCAGCTGCATTTCGTCTTCAGCAAAACAACCAAAAGCTAAATGTTCCTGTCCTTTACGTACAAACAATCTCATCTGGTCTAGAAATGTTTTTTTAAAAATGCTGTCAAATTAAACCAAACATGCTTGAAATGACGTTATCAGAAACGCTTAGTTCTTTGTTTTATGCAAATAATATATAAAGTTTGACTCAGCTTCATTCTTTGCAAAACCAAACCAAACCCAAACATTTAGCCTCTATCCAGATTATGCAAATGCAGGAAAATGCTTCCAACTTTTTCCAACCCGGCCAAGATTGAATCCGGCCAGAGTGCCAAACAATGATCTCTCTTTTTCTGTGAAAGTGGTCACCCGGCTGGCTTAGGGCCACGTTGCATGCGTGCTGTTACAGAGAGAACATCTGGGGGACGACCCGCCGCTGGACTCCAGCTGCGGGTGGAGCCCAGCAGCTGGCGACGTCCTTCGCCCTGAAACCCGGGTCCGGTCACGTCTGCGTCCAGGCAGAGTCAGCGAGTGAGCTGGGGGCTTTTTCTTTTTTTTGTTTGTTTTCGTCTTATTTGGCCATGAACCGGCCCGAGGTATTGCAACAATGAAGTGTGCTCTCAAGAATGTGTGGCAGAACTCCCATGAGGTTCCAGAGATCAGGGGGTTGATGTGTTTATGTGAGAGGGAGATTTTAATTCACCCAGCGTGAAACATCTGATGACGTACCGAGACAAACGAGCGAGTATGCTGTGTGAACGCCACGGAGAAATGTGTTTCCGAAGAGAGACGAGAGTGTTTGGAGAATGGAGTGGAGCGAAAACATGGTGTGTGTGTGTGTGTGTGTGTGTGTGTGTGTGTGTGTGTGTGTGTGTGTGTGTGTGTAACAGGAGAAGTGGTGTAATACAAATTGTGTGAAGCATAGCTATACAGATTACGTAGCCTGTGGAAGAGCTAGTTTGGCTTCAGAAGTTCAGAACTCACAGGGACCAGTCTGAGTTTGGGTTGGGCCGGAGGGCTGGGTGGGAGGTATGAGCATTTTTGCAGAGTGAGGATATTTTGGCTGCACTCGCTTCGGACTGGGCTTTATAAGGGGCCGTTTAATGCCTAGACGTTGGTTCGAAGAGGTACAGTAAGAAGAGCGGGGCAAGCCGGGCCTGGTGCTGGTTAAATCTGCAGCAGTTTTCATTTTGGGCCACTGTGTGTCAGTAAAAATTGGGCCTTGCTGTATGTCAAACCGCCTCGAGGGAAACTCACACTCCTCAGAGTGAACTTTTTCTCAACTTCCATTGGATTTTATGTTGATAGATCAATGTAGGTGTGAAGTGGGAAGAAAACGGTGAAGGGTTTGCTAATTCTGTCATAATTACGAATCTGGAATTGAGACATTTAATCGCTGGCAAAGATGTCACTTGGCCTAGCATTTCTCTATTCGCAGTGAATAGCTATGTCCGTAGGGCCAAACGTCAGTCATTGGGTCAAATCGGATCCAATCATTCCAGAGCACTTAAAACATCAACAGTCCACACAGTGATCAGTTCTCAACAACTCGAGGGTTCAGGCCTGAGGACTATTGAAGAAAGAGCAGAACAAGTGGCTGGTTTTTGCCAGGCTATGTCATTAGACTGTGGAGTCATTAAATTCCCAATATAGTCAATTGTTGGTGTGAGTTTATACAAATGGTGTTTGATCCTTGTAAGTGAGTCTCTTTTGTCAGAGAAATGACTCGACCCCTGACCCAGCAGTAGCTAATAGTCTGCTGGCATGACGAAACGGTTACTGTTGGAAAATCCTTATAATTGAGGCGAGAAGAGGAGCAAAGTTGAGTTGCAGACAGAGCAGGAGTTTTTAAAGAGACAGAGGCCCAATTTCAAGGTATTAAATTAGGAAGTAAAATAAAGTATTTATCTCCTTTACATCTCTACCAGCTTTTCACATCCAGAGGCTAACGTTTTGTGTCAGACGTTCACTGAAGCTGAATTGTAATCAAAGTGACAATCCTCGGACTTCTCAGCTAAACCCGTCATTATCCCGACTATCTCATCTTGGCTTGTTTTGGAGCTGCTAACCACAAATTAGCAGGCTAGCCCTTCCTGTGCGCTGGCTCCTGTTCTGGCAGAAGTGTTAGTGATGTATGATGCAAAGATCAAAAAAGATGCAGAGTCATTGTCCTGTTTCTGTCAACATAACTTGATTTCACCGGTTTAAGAGTCAAACACTGACAGCAAAAAAAACAAAACAATAGTCTGCTGTCATGGCTACAGGCCTGCTAGCGATGTAACTACCCGGTAGCAAACACTTTGCACCATTGCTGACTAATTCATTACTGCGCCTAGAGATTAGGGTTTGCAACATCTATGCTTTGCCACACTGCGAAAACAAATCTTGTAAAATATCATCCCCAGCATCTGATTGGCTGAAACATGTTTTAGTTGAATGTATTTAGTTCTGAGAATCAAAGGGTTTTGAAAGCTTTCCAGCTGGAAAATCTTAAAGATTTCCCCACTTTGTGTGCTGACAGATCAACTCCAGCCAGGCTGAAATATTTGTTCCTTCTCATGCTCGTCTGTTTCCCTTGTGTCAGATTTGTCTCTTGTTTATCTTTCTGTTTATTGAGGTGACTCAGAACTAAGTCATCTTTTGGGTTTTGATTTCTGAACTCAGCCACCACAACCCTTTCAGTAGTGGGGTTGAACCAAACCGCAGGCAAGAACTCAGTGTGGTCAGTGAATACATCTTTAAATAAAGATGAACATTTTCAGCTAATTATATGTGTAATAACAGTGTAATAACTGAGAGTGATCTCAGAATGCAAATGAGGGAGCATTAACTGGGCTTCCATAAGAAATCTTTGCAAAAAAAAAAAAAAAGAATTGTCACTATTCCACTAATGTTGAAAAAACACAATTTTGCAGTTGCTGGAACAGGAAGCACAAAACACAAGCACCTAATGATCATGACACCTTTGAATTGTGTATTTGAATTTGAATTGTGAATTTGGTTGTGGTGAAAATCCTATAGCACCGAGAATAGCACTTGACTTTGGTGTTGCTATGAAATGACACACCCAGTCAAACTGGTTAACATCACCAGTGGATTCCAATGAAGACTCCAGAAATGTATTGTTGTTTTTTTTGCTTTTTGTTTTGCTGACATTTTCATTTCATATTTTCAAGCACTTCAATTTGTCAAGTGCCTGTCTACAGAATACCAGCTTAGTCGAAGTATTTGTTTTTCTGTAATG